ATCCCTATAATCATTGCCACTAACATCCTCAAGAAACTCAAGAATTGCTTGCCTTTTAATCTGGACAGGTTTGTCTTCATATTCCTGGTCATCTCCGTTGTGCTCTATGTATTTACTGCTATCATGTGGCCCATTTTTATGTTCAGACACAACCCTCGCCCCAGTGACTGTCCACCCAGCTATTGCATATGGGCCATTCAGTTCATGGTTGCCTTTTTCACCTATGTCAACCTCATTCTATTCGTACTGGACCTCATTTTCACTCTGCTTGGTATCTGTGGCTTTAAACGCCCATAAACTGGTGCCTTTCTTTGTCAATCAAAATTCTTTTAAGTTGTACTTCAGGTTAACAAACACCAAAAAAAGGGTTAAAATCTCGTTTTTGAGTTTCTATAATGCTTTCTGAAACTGGTATATTGAGGTCCATGTAAATAGACTAAAGCATATGGCTATAACACACTTGTGTTTAATCTGCATCAGCACTTCAGGATATCATTGTTGGGTAGCTTGACAGATAGCTCTACAAAGTTTAATACCATGAATGTGGATTATAATTTCTGTTTTTATAGTTTCTGTATTTTTACCATTATAAAATTGAGTATTTGAATATTGCTTTGTTATGTTTTGTCAAACTGAAATGCACAATGAGTATTTGAAGTGAGGCATGAGTCAGTTTTGTGTGTCCTCCCTCTGCCTCACTGTCTGATTGTAAGTTTTATCTCCCCCACAATAACATTTGTGTTATCTCACAGCTCCTTACTACCACGCTCTTATTAACAGAACACTTTTACAGCAGTCCTTGTCATTTTCCACCTGCAACTACTTATGTTGAAATCCACTTATCTGATTCAATATTATATAGTATTCATAATCATGTCAAGCTCTGACCTGCTATTTATCATATATTCCTGACTGTGCGCACTATTGTGATCATTCCTGGTTGGTGACAATCACCTATTTAAAATCTTTGTACGTATGAATACAGTTTAGGGGGGTTTATGCTTCGTTCTTGCTACAAATGTGCTGCACGTTTCATTTCCTCTGCCTAGAGAAAACTGATTGAGTGATTTTTGTTTTAAGATGTTGCAAAAATAATAAATTTAGTGCCTGAAAAACTTTTGACATATTGTCCTTTTTAAATAAAAAGCACAAGGTGACAATGTTAATGAAAAGTTACTTTTATCACATCATGGTTATTGTAACAGCAGATGAAAAAAGAGGCCATAACCAAAAGGTTAAAACCACAGAAGAAAGCAAACTATTACTATAACATTGTACCCTCTAGTCAAATGTCATCACCGTGGCTGCTGAATGCCATCAAACTGAGATAGTGAGAATGCAAATGCAGCAGGGACATTGCACAGTAAGTAGCCATCAGGCAGAACCTGCTCAGCAAATGTACACATTAAGTAGTATTTTTTTTAAACTACTTTAAGAAAATAGTTAAAGTTCACATAAAAACAGAACTTTATAGTCCCAAAGCTGGAAGAGTCAGCACGCTGCTGTTATTCAGGCGTCCTCTGGTTCTTCAAACTCCACAGTCTCCAGCAGACCCTGAAAACAGAAGTAGTGGGAGTTGCAGTAGACCGGAGGTTTGTGGGCACATGAATCCACAACTTCTGGCTTTAGTGATGCAAAAGGGTTGGCTCCACTTCCTTTCATGTCCATTTCCAGCTCCAGCAGAATTTGCAAAGAGTAGGTCATCTCTGTCTCACTGCAGACGGAGAACAAGCAGACATGATCAGCAGACATTACACGCAGCAAAGCATGGCAAATGGGCACATTAGCTCTCAGTGATAAAAGACCAGAAGCAGCAGAAAGTTTAGGCTCGGCAGACTGCTGTGCACTTGTAAGATATAATGTATAATACAATAATGAAACTGACAAGCATGTCACCTGATTAGAATGTAAAACTGACTGTTACAGTATAGCTTATTAAACTGAAGATCCCACATGACGCCACTTAACGCAGGATCTTCTCATTTCCCCAGAATTAGTCGCTCAGGTTCTTACTCAAAACCCCTCACAGATCTCTTATTTATTCTGCCACGCCTGTGTAGCTGAGGTATTCTCACTGTCTGGCTGTATCAGCATCAGCGCTTGTAAATGCAAATGACCCGGTGCTCCTCACAGGCCGTGTGGGCTGTGCCTTTCCAGTGATGGACAAAGCACTCTTTTTTCCCCCCCATTGTCCCATATTATCAGCATCAGTGCGTTAAAGATCTGTTGGAATGAGTAGTTCTCCAAAGCTGCAGGTGCATATTCCCACTCACTGAGGTTATACAAGGCCAAGATTCCTCATTGGCTGAAAAAGCTGCTCCTTAATTCTTAATAATCCAAATACTGAAGATGTATTCTGGATTTAATTCTGAAGATGTAATGTTTGGCATTACTCTTGAACTTGCTGGGTTTTACTGCAGCAGTTTCAGCTGCTGACTGTGATGGTGAGTAATTTTATCCCTAAATACACACCGCTAGGAATATTCTTACTCCCAGTTATCCTACACACTGTAGCTTTAAGTAGCATTAGCATGCCATAACAATACTATCAAAAGTCCTCATCATGTAGAACAGCCAAGGTTTTCTTAGTTAATGTTGTACTATATTTGATTATTATTGATGAACTAACATGTAAACAGAACATTAATGTAGTAGTTGAGAGAAGCTGAGCTCATTTTAACTATTCTAGACAGCAGTAACTTCATATCTGAAGTAAAATAATGCGGTGTGGATCGCAATGTTTCCTTTAGCAATAAAATATTAAACAGAAATGTAACCAAAAAAAGTTAAAGAACCTGAAAACTAAATATAAATGTAATAAGGTCAAAATGTCACTCACGTGAGAGCAGTGAAGAGAGAAGGAATTTCATAATCTCTGAGAAGCAGGAGAGTTGGAAGCCAACCCTCGTCCAGACCTTGGCTGGCATCAAATCCTTAATAAAAATAAATAAATACATTTAAAATAGGAAGGAAAGAAAACCAAATAATGAATAAGATCTCTTAACTTTTTATTGTTCAGTAAGAAACATACACACTATTATGTGTTTATATAAGGGAGAAAAAAAATTTCTCACCAGGATGAAATCCAACCACCAGATCTGGCTTGGCTGCCTCCTCTTTCTCCACCAGCTCCTCCCAGAACTGATGGTAGAGGCCCTTGTAGGCGCTGATGTAGACTCTCTGTTTGGGTCCAAAAGCTCTGAGGGGAGGCCTCACAATGGGGCCGTCCACCACCTCAGGCCCCACCATGACTATTTCGATCCCCTGGTGTCCGGGGAACATGTTGTTCAGCTCATCGTAGTCGGTCAGTCTGGCTGACAGAGTCTCAGTGTGGCCTGCTCCCACCAGGTGAATGGTGAGAGGTTTGGATAAAGGGTTTAGACCAAACAGCCTCATCCCCCAGGCTATTGTCAGGGGCCTGGAGAAGAACTCGCTGCAAACCCTCCACAGCGACTGCTTCAGATCGTCATCATCTGGCCGAGGCCGACCAGCGTTGGTCCACAAGTCATTCATGTTTTTTCCATTTAAAACAGGATCGAGGCGTGCTGTGAGATCTCCCTGCATGGAGAGCCAGTCATCGAAACCTTTTACCTCGGACTGGGACTTGGACCATTTTTCTGTAGGAAACGGGAGGTCTCCTGAAGACAAATAAAACTGGCAGTTTGAGCAAGGTTAAAACGATTTGTTAATTTTTTGTTTTAAATTCACATTATTACTTTAGCATAATATTGTAAAATAAAAAATATCATAGCAGTTTACACATTCACACAAAACCCTCAGTTTCCCTCTGGGGTTGGGTCAGACACGACATGTAGTCGAAGAAAATCTGCTAAATCAGACATTTGAAGCAACCCACTATGTCGGATACTTTATTCCATTTTTGGAATAATTGGAAGAATCTGCAATTTACCTTTAAACACAAGCCACTCCACAACTCTGTCGATAGCAGCCAGTCGCAGCTGTGAGCAGGACTTCTTGTGCTTGGGCCAGTCTTCCTTCTGACACTCTTTACAGCAGTAGTAAGTATTCAGACACCTGGAGAGGAAAAAAAGATCTGGTCTGTACTGGCAGTACAAACTCACTGGATAAAATCTGAATACGCTGCTTTTTTACTCTCTCTCATTACCTGGAGCAACGCTTTAGCTTCTGTGGGTTGGAAAGTTCATTCGGTCGCTTTTCACAATAAGCACAGATTTTGAAAGATTCCTCCATCTTCTCAAACATCTCTTTTTGGGACTGGAAAGTCATGCTTTTACCCTTGGTCTGCTGAACAGCCCTGGAAAGGAAGATTCAAATTCTTAAAGATCAATGGGATACAACTGATCAGAGGCTGAAGATGACAATTATCATGCCATGTGTTCATCATACTCTTATATTCATGCTGTAACCTTCAGTTCTTTTCTCAGTGCTGGGTGGGAAGAGCGTTTTTTGCTTTAAGCTTCATGTTTACAACTTGGAACAAGTGGAAAAACCATACACTGTATATAAGGTATGTTTTATATACAGTGAACCCATAAAGAAAGTCTTGAAACAGGCTTCCACTACCTCCGTGTTTCAAGACTGAAAATGGCAATTCAAACTTCACGCTGTCGGTGAAGGCCCCGCTCCTCCCGCATGTGCTTTCACTCATCGGCCACTTTCACAGTGCTCTGTGAAAATAAATGTACATTTAATAAAACTGGACTCCACACATTCCACTTACCTCTCGGTTTCCGTCATCTTGAACCGAGCAAATGAGTGTGACACAGACGCTTTTCAGCTGCTTCCTCTGCTGCTGCTCCTCTGCTTTTATGATATGTGAGCGGTCTGTTGGGGGGCTGCAGTGCCAGATATAGCACCTGTGCTCTGCCTTCTAGAAACGTCTGACAACTCCAGACCATTCCTGACTTCACAAGAGCCAGACTCACATGAGGAGGTAAAATGCATGAATGAATGAGTAGATGTACGAGTAGGTTTTATGACGTAACAACCCCCTAAAAATTTAATTTATCATTGCATTTATGGTGTTACAGTTGTTTAATTATCGATTGCAATAACTTGTGGGTTTGATATATTATCACCCCAAATTACTTTATTACTATTTTTATAACTGATTTATTGCCCATGGTTTCAATAGTAAACCTGGCCCAGAGTATGTACTTCTTACACATAGCCTAATAGAAGATTTTTGCCAAAACTTGAATACATTTTTCCCCTGAAAATAAAATGATATAAAGAGATTAAAGCCAATCAGGCAGAAGGCTATAAAGAAACACTGTTTCCACTAGTCCAAAACATGCCTTGGGCCTCTTAATGACTTGTCTTCCTATAGCTTTGTGTTACAACTTCTATCCACTAGAGGTCCGTGTCGCCCCACCAGGCGTGCTCTCTAGAAACGGCGTCAAATAGATTTATTGGTATTCATCAGTGAAAGCAACATTTTGACCCAAAAAAAAGGGCGATTCCAAATTAATAAAGACTTTTATCATTTAGATTTTATGCTTGAATTGTTTTTAATGCATGTTCACAAGTCACTTTGTTAGGTACACCTGCGATCGACTTTAATTCTTCATTCCAGAGTCAACAAGGTAGATTTTGGTCCATATTAACATAGTAACAGATCCGTTGCTGCAGATTTGATGGTTTCACATCCATGATGAGAATCTCCTATACATCCACATCCTGACAGTGCTCGACTGGATTGCGAGCTGGTGGCTGTGGAGGCCATTTGAATAAAGAGAACTAATTGTCATGTTCAAGAAACCGGTTTCAGATGTTTTGAGTTTTGTTATCGTGCTGGAAGCAATCATTAGAAGATGAGTACACTGTGGTCATAAAGAAGTGGACACGGTCAGTAGTAATTGCTCAGGTAGGCTGCGGCATTTGAGACTCATCTGACCAGGAAATGCTTTTGCAATCATCTGTTGTCTAATTTCAGTGAGCGTGTGTGAAGTGTAGTCTCAGTTTTCTGTTCCTGGCTGACAGGAGTGATGCCAGATGTGCTCTTCTGTTCCCCACGCACTTCATTTTGTTCAGAGAGCCGATGCTCACTGGATATTTTCTCTTTTTAAAAAAATCTTCTGTGACAGTTAGAGATGGTTGTGTGGGGAAATGACACCAGATCAACATTTTGAATGAGGATGAAACAATACATTTTTCTTTACGGTGGATCTATGTGCCATTTGCTACTGAGGGCAGAATTCAGCTTTTTGTCCATGCTTTATAACATAATAGTGTTCATTTTAAAAAGCATTGTTCAGTTTTGTGTCCAATGGTTTCAGACTGGCTATAAATTGTTTTATGATTATTTGAAAAACGGGGCTCGTGATGTTTTTTAAGAGAGGCAGATGGGCTAGGAGAGAGTGAAGGTTAATGTATGGTAATTGTTGTTTATTCCACAGTAAATAAAACGTACCTGTCAAATAAAACTCACTTGCCAATACAGACCTCCGTTTAGCACATATGAAAATATCCTTTAATACCCTAGTTTTAAAAAAATATACATTACAATACAGCAATACTGGGCCTGTAATCAAAACAGTAATGGTGTGTTTATTATATTTTACCACGCTTAAGTGATTACCACCACTAAAAATGCTATTAGACATGATGATAAACCTTAATAAAAGACAACACACAATAAACAGAGGCATTGATAAAGAAATGTTACTTTAATGTGCATCAGTAGAGCTCTCTGCTGTCAGCACAACTCTTTTTCAAGAACTAAAGACTCAAATTTGAGCAACAAAGCAGAGAGAAATCCACGCGATAAAGTAGGAAAAACTCACGAATCTCAAAGGAACCTCAGCTTCTTTGATAATGCTGTCATTTATATAGGCGTTATTTGAGATTGTGTGTTAAATTCATGTGCAGCCAGTGTGATGTTTGGGAATTTGCTCATGCCGCAGAACAAATCACAGGAAGTCGTTAAGTGATGATGAAGCTAATTTTGGTCACATAATGTAGGTACAACAGTGACTCTTCATATCCAACAGTCGTCATGTCACCCTGCATAATGAAGCGAGTAGAAACCTCTGGGATCCTCATTAGGTAAACATATCAGAATTAAAGGATAGTTTTTAGCACACTCTGGAAGGAGTGAAGATTATTTTTCCTTCACTCCCAATGCCAGAGGTATGATTCAGTGTCCAGCAGAGTTATGACCATCTCTGACAGGTTGCAGAAAGTCCCCCAAGGACTTTAGGAAACCTGCAAATCTGTCAGGTCCAAAAAGAAGGCTTTGAGTTACCTTCATAGGTTTCACTGTGGACTCTAAGCATCTGCACCTCGGCCCTCAAGGTCTTCTTGTGGAAGCAGTCCCTGGAAACTGACGTAATGAGAGTTGCAGTAGACGGGGGGTTTGTTAGGACAAGCTTGGACCTGCTCTGGTTTCTGTGAGGTGAATGGATTGGGCCCACTGTCCCTGATGTGCATCTCCAGCTCCAGCAGAATCTCCAGTGAGTACTTGAGCTCCATCTCACTGTGGAGACAAAAGAGGTGTGAAAATACTCAAATTTAGGTTGAAGTTTAGTTTTATTGTGCGTGTGAATCGTGAGTGCTTAAGAAACACAAACGGCTACAAGAAAACAGACGTTTTGGCAAAACGGCATCAACAAAGGGTGAAAGACTGGAGTATCAGAACTGTGCAATTTCATCCCGTTATACTCTACAAGGGGGGATTCTGTTTAGAGCTCCTGCTGTAAAAGAAACAAATCTTTTCTTCTACTTGGCCTTTGTAAAGAAACAAAAAAACTAAATTGGAAACAGGTATAGAGGAATAATGTTTAAGAGATAACTATCCGAAGGTAATGAAGACAGCTAGGTAAGTAGTAGAGCAGAAAACTGGGCTAAAGTGTCAGGCCCTAAAAATGCATATCTGCAGCAGATGAACAGAATCCGATAGCTATGGCCTTAAGAAATAGGAAAAAATCCAGCAAAGACCTGACACATGACCTGAACGAGGCATCTGGACCATCAGTGGATCATCTACTGTTCACAAAAGCCTCATCAGAAATAATCTCAGTGGAAGGGTGGCTGTCAGGGAGCCGTTCTTAAGGTTTCTTGACATATTAAACATAAGAGGAGGCAACAGATCCTAAATGTAATGATGAATTCAGGCTGTGTTGAAGAATAAAGGTGGTCACACCAAATATTGACATTTGAGTTCCTTAGAATTATACAAACTCTGCTTTTGCCTTCTGTAGTGTAATTCCATGTGTGTTTGCACATCTCAATAAAATGTGGAACCTATTTCTAATTTTTCCATCAAAACATGAAGAAATGAAAAGTTTTGCATAGCACTGTATGTTCATCAACAATCTCCGACAGTTCTGACTTTCTTTTTTTCTGGAGTTAGCAGATGGTATACAAAACGAGTTAATGAAGTCCCTCAAGCGCAAAGAATTTCAAATATTCAAGAGAGTGAGAGGTTTTATTAAGCCTGCTACATAAAATGCAATCCAAGCAATTAGAGCCACAGAAGCATGACTTACCTGAACATGGTGAAGAAGGAAGGGATATTATAGTCTCTGAGCAGCAGCAGAGTGGGCAGCCAACCCTCTATCAGACCCTGGTTAGCGTGGAACCCTGAGTTAAAAACAAACACGTGAACCTGTATGCTGTACGTTCACAAACATGCTAATTATTAGAAATATTAAATAATTAGTATCACATTTGCTTATGGCCTGTTACCCACTACACTGTTAAAACAAGAGTGCACTTCTATCTTCCTTTCATCTTTTCCCATCCTCCAATATAATCCTGGTAAAGTAAATATGTGCGTCTTATTCCTGCTAGATGCTCCACTCTTTAAAAAAAATGAGGCATCTGGAAGCTAAAAGATTAAAACAACAAACTGACAGAGAAAACAGTCAGTCTCAGTCTCCTTTTAGTCAATGAGGTAAAGATGGAACAGAGTACACTTGATTAGGCTCCAGCAAACCATGTGTTTCTCTTGTTAGCTTGAGTACAATCCCTTCTGGGCATACCTAATCTCATTAATAAACCAAGGAATCTCTGGCTGTCGTGTTCCTCCGCAGCAGTTTATTGACAGGTGTGTATTGCAGTGTCAGTGTCAGGATTGAGATCTGAAGTAAACAGCATTATATAATCCAGCTTCACTGATGCCGACACACCTGTGGTGTCGATGTGAAGACGGCAGCTTTGCCACAAGCAAGCGGACCTCGTTTGTGAGCTTTAGCTGGACATTGGGAAGCTTGTTAAATCTTTCTTTTCAGCATCACACCAGCTGAAAATGTGTGATACTCTCCAGTTAGTCACACAGACAGTCACAGCAGTCCGGCTACATTTAGGACGGGCTGCTTGCATAATCCTCGGGTATATTAACTGACAGATGTCACTTTCCCCTGACTCGGGTTTATATCAGAAGTCAGATTTTTGAGCGGCGGGGGGTGGTGCGGGGTGGCGATGGGGTATTATGGTGAAAAGTTTGCCCTTCAACCAGATTAGTGAGGTTCCAGCCTGCCATGGCAGCAAATACTGTAAATCCATCCAGCTTAAGTGTCCCCGAGTGAGACAAAACCGAGCAAACAAGAGAATTTTCCTGTGCTTGCATTATTATTATTTTACCACAGAGAAGGACGTGGTTATATCTTACTCAGCATTAACGGGAAAGTGGACATGTGAGAAACATGTTTGCAGATACCGGGGGGTGTATACAAGAAATGTGACAGCGTGGCACAGAGATGGCGTCATGTTATCAAGCGCCTCATCTTTCCCGGGAACTCAAACTGGAGGAGGAGGGCGATTTCAATTTCATTAATGCACTCCATGATATGAACACCCCAGCGGTTACTTATCGTGACGAGGAAGCTGTTAACACGGAGTAAGCGTTTAGAGGTTTAAACCATACCCCAGGAGACAAAGCGACAAAGACAGGCTACAGCCTGACTGGTAACGACTGCCATAATTGCCTGGCAGCAGTAAATTCGGGCCATATGGTAATTATTAATGATAATAGACTTTTGTTTTTGTTTTTTTAAACAGGCAACAAGAAAGTGTTATATAGCTGTGAAAATCCAGTTTATATCACGGACAACAAAAAGAAGTCTGGATGGGTTTTTTTGCATTTATGAGGCGCCTGTTTTGGGGGCGTTGTATCCCTGTATGGTTAATGTTACATATCCCACATCAATCTCCTTTCTGAAAGCTGACATTACCTCCTCCCTCTTATTCTCAAAGGTCAATATCTCCATAGTTTATTTTGTAAATGTGTTTTTCTAGTAGCTTTCCCTTTCCCCCGGTTCTCATTCTCTTGTGACTTCAGCACACACACGCACCTTTTTTACTCCTTTCGTCACGCTGCCTGCGCGCCTATCACCTAAACAGTGTCATAATGCAGTGCTCTGCCAGCTTCGCAGTATGAATTGCAGCCAGGCTCTCAGGCAGTTTACTCTCAGGATGACTGATTCCTGTATATTTAGCTCCACTGGAGCCTGTAGCGATAACCGAGCCAGGGTTACAGGTGCATTTTGGGTTGGGGCTTTACTGCTGATTTGCAGGTTAAAAGGTCAAAGAACAGACTCGGTGCAAAAGCTTAAAAGGGCGTTGGGTTATAGTACGGCTTTAATGAGGTGGTTGTCAGTGAAAGTGTATAAACGGGGAAGTAGGTGTCAAGACTTTCAGTTACCCTTTGTGTTCTACTCCAAAAGCTTTAAATGTAGCTGTCGCCCGACGGCTTCAAATCAATGACTTTGCACACGAGAGGGCAGGCAGTGATAGACTGAGACACTTCTTCAAAAGGAGAGCTTACTAACATTATGCTGACTCCAGCTATCTCAAGCCAAACTCTTTTACAGCTGCTCCCCTTAATCACCCAAATCCCCAATAAAGGCCTGGCACTAATGAATGGGCCAGATCCAGTGAGCTACAGGTTTCCTGCTTTCTCTGTTCTCTGAAGGAAGTAGCTGCCAGACACATGTAGAGGAAGACAAGCCATCGCTTCAGTCCAAAATAGCTGCAGCAGTCATTAAGGTCTTAATCTAAATTCATTTTCAATTCAGGCCACTGTTAAAATTCTCTCAAAATTGCACTCTTCGTTGATGTCTTGTGGGATTATTAGAATACATACCAGGATGAAATCCAACCACCAGGTCCGGCTTGGCTGCTTCCTGTTTATCCACCATATCCTCCCAGAACTGATGGTAAAGAGCCTTGTAGGCGCTGATGTAGACTCTGTGCTTGGGGCCAAATGCCCTGAGAGGAGGTCTCATGATGGGGCCGTCCACCACCTCAGGCCCCACCATGACTATTTCGATCCCCTGGTGTCCGGGGAACATGTGGTTCAGCTCATCAAAGTCGGTCAGTCTGGCTCCCATGGTTTCATTGTGAGATGTCCCCACTAGGTGAACAGTGACTGGTTTGTCATATGGGTCCAGTTTAAAGTGCTGCACGGCCAAGCCCACCGTGAGAACTCGAGAGAGGAACTCGCTCTGAATTCGCCATAAGGATTGTCGCAGGTCAGCATCATCCGGTCGAGGTCTGGAGGCGTTTTTCCAAAGGGCCGCCATGTTGGCACCGGACAAGACCGTGTTCAGGCATGGTGTAAGATCCCCCTGCTTGGAAAGCCAGTCGTCCCAGTTCTTCACCTCACCAGCTGACTTGGTCCACTTCTCAGTAGGGATGGGGAGGTCTCCTGTAACAGTGGTACAATACTATGATTGAGCTACAAAGTTTGTAGGTCCACAGAGGCTTTTAAAGTCAGATAGCAAAACACTGGTCAACTATGACAGAAATTTAGGAGAGAAAAATTTCACTTCTCTGTCTCACTCGTTGTCTTTCAGGCGTTTCCTTTGTGTAATTTCTCTTGATTTTCATCTCAGATTGCTAGAAACCTCATGACTCTATGGTGTGGAGTTGCCCAGGTAGGCAACAAACCACATAATTGTTTATTACACTGTCCTTTACAATCTACAATTTACTTTATTTCATAACACGTCACTGTAATAAGTAAAATAACCAGTAGAAGAGGATCTGACCTTTGACCTGGGAGTGGAACAGTCCTTTCAGGAACTAATTCTGCATGCAACTCAATGTTAGCTACTGCTAAAACTAATATCATATGTATGCATGTTCAAAATTGAAATAACTATAACAAGACAATGTGTGTATATGCATGAATATGTGACCAAGTATAGTTGTTTGTTTAAAGACAGATTTGGATTTCATGTATTTACTAAAACAGCTTTTTTTGGTTCGTTGCCTCAGGGCATCATTATGCCGTTAGACCATTTTTCTTACGGGGATAACAGGAAAACAGCGCTTCCAAACTCAGGTCCTTGGGGCTGCTTGTTGTGATTATTCGACTCAAGTGTGTTGGAGTAGTGACTCCGATCAGAGAGTGTTATTATTTTTAGGAGCGCTGAGTGGCAGGATATAAAAGCAAACAAATCTACTTCATAAATATACAGAAAACTGCACATTGCTGTCCCGAGGCAATGAGCCCATTTTTTGGTGAGGGAGGGGTACAAATGTGTTGATATGTATGATACAGCTTTCAAAAAGCAGGCTGAAATATAATTTTTTCTCAAGAAAAGGGAAATTTAAGCCATGGAGATGTGAAATCATTTCAGCAGCACCACCTTGTAATTTCTCACCTGTGAACATTAGCCACTCCACTAGTCTGTCAATTGCCACCAGCCACAATATCTTGCAAACCTTTTTATGCTGAGCCCAGTCCTTTCTTTGACAGTCCTTAGTGCAGTAGTACACATTCAAACACCTGGTGGAAAACCGAAGAACAATGGTAACATAGTGAAAAACTGGTGTGGGGAAGAAGAAGACGGTAAGCAAAAGCATTACTTTATTTGTGAAACTGTAATTCTCCATACTTCTACTGTTCTCCACCTTCAGCAGTTTGTTTTGGAACATTCAGGTGCATGTTTAACACAATGCTGCAATTTTTTCAGTGGTGGTTGTCCGACCATTCTCACCCCAAGGTCAGACCATGAAATGTCAATGCTATTTGCAGTTAGCTACCTCTCAGACTCTACAGGTCTCATTTTGCAGCTTAAATATTGATGACAGTAGCATTATAAAAACAGAGTGCCATAATTCCTCCACAACAATGCGAGAGGTTGATAAAGTCACACAGAAAGCGATCACTTCAAGTTATTGCTGCTAGCAGTGGTTCTTTAAGCTAGCCAAAACAATGATGTGGTGTTCTTAGACTTTCGCAGGACTGCATACTTGGCTGTATATGGATTTCCTAATTTAAGCTCAAAAAGTCCAATCTATTGCCAAGAAAAGCCACACTCAGAAGGTGAGCATGGAAATATAGTAGGGTAAGCAGGTAAGCGCACAGTATTTTTATACCTTTCCCTCCCTTCTCACCTACTGAGACAATCCTGCACATTTTGTTTGTCTCTAGTTTCTGAAAATCCAGCTTTTATTTAATGTCTGTGAAGATAGTGGCAAAGGTTGTCATCTTGTGTCTCCCACAGGTGACTATATCACCATCTCATGCTGCCTACGGTACTCCCAGGGTGGGAAAATGTAAGGCACCACAAGTCCTGCAGAAACACACACTTTATTTTACATTTAGCATGTTGGGATCTGGTCACCCTACTGGTTCTAATCTTTTATTACGCTAAACTACCTAAGCTTTTAGGTATTTCATGCTAAGTATTAGCTAAAGAGTAAAACTTTTTATGAGTACTCCATGCAGTGTAATGTATATCAAGAGAGCTTCTTAATTACTAGGCCACCAGTTAGAATGTTTTGCTTGTGCCAAGTCACAAATAGCTTCTTACATACAGAACCAATATGTTGACCTTCCTGTGCAGTGAGAAACTAATGAGACTGAAGATGAATTCTGACTTGCTTTTGGCAGCTGCTGGGAGGAAAAATAAATAAATAAATAAAACAGGGGCATACTAGGTAAAAGCAGGCATTTATGACCTCTCAGTAAGGATGCAGGCCTTTGTGTTGTCACACAGCATGCACGATGATGAGGCAATGTGTTGGCGTAGTGGTCTGACAGCCAGCAGCAGCTGCTGCATTGGGAGACTATATTACTTTACCTTGCAGCCATTTGCAGCCTTAGAGGCACCCCACATTTACATAAAATCATTTATCAGCCACCGTGTTCCAGCACGGTGCACTTTGCTAATACTAATGCTAGTACTAATTCTCCAAAAGAGGCTTATAAGTAGAAGAAGTGACTCAAAACACGGGTGAGAAAAACAAGGTGCCCTTGAAAGTTAAAGTGTGAACCATTTCCCAAGAGATTAATAAACAGAGGAAAGCGAAAAAGAATGAGGATTAGGACGGCATTAGAAAGTCAGCACTACTGATTTAACGCTGGTGGTAATTCTAATGTCAAAGGTCTCGAGGGTATAACTTGTCAGCATTTCCGTTTTTTGTGCGCCTAAATGCCTCCTGCTACTGGTAAGAGGTTAGAGGCAGAGGCAGCTGAGAATTTCAAGGGAACACGCCTGAACGACAGCATGAATGAGTCGGCATGAATCAGAGATGGGAAAGGATGCAAAAAAGAAGCAGGGAGCCGGAGGGCCAAAGAAAAACGAGGCACAAAACAATTAGGAGCTCACGAAAATGCACTGCAGTGTTTTCTGCTGCTTTTTCCTCAATATTCTCCTTGAGCACTCTCTCTGATGGTGTGACATATGAACTGCATTAAGCTGCTCTTAATAAGCTGCAGAGTTGCAGAGAGATGAATCACAGTCAGGGGACTTAGCTATATTTGCCATTGGCCATTATCCACCTCTGTAGTGCTGTCCACACTTGGGTGGCTTATCATTCCGTTGCTGATACAGCGGCAGCTGGTAATGCCTCACACATGACAGCTATTGGACAGCAACATCAAAACAAGATCCTGGCTGTGTGGTGACAGAAATGTCCAGAGAACAGTGGAGATTTAATTTCCAGAAAATATTCAGACTGTAAACAACGATTGTTGTTAATCGGCGTTAATGACAGAATACTGTAAATCAAACGCAACAGGGTGCAGTTTGCACTCACTTCACGCAGCGCTTCAGGGTCTGTCCCTCGGCGAGATGTTCGGGGAGTTCGTTACAGCCGGCGCAGAACTTGAAAGTTTCCTCCATCCTCTGGAACATCTCTTTGTAGTTGCGGAATGAGATTCCTCTAGCCTTCCCTTCGAGTACAGCCCTGATTAGAGTCAGACACTAAATCATTTGCCAAGCAAGACACATGCTCAAGAATCTGAGGTGTTAAAGTGACATAAAGGGCAACTTTTGAGCACGTAGGACATGTGAAATTTGTGCAAATTTCTAAAGCGTAACCAATCAAACCAGTCTGGGTGTTACGAACGTTGGAAAAAAAGAAGAAAAAATGAAAATTGGAAACCTGTATTCTCCGTAGTCCTTCAGGTTGAGCTTGTTGAGAATCACCTTTGAGAGTCCAGGTACGTTGGAGTCCAGAGAGTGAAAGGCAGACTGGTCAGAAAAGACGCTGTCAGTCCCCGGAGTGTAGGACTGTGGCAGTGCAGGGATCTGGGATGCCATTATTATGGCCTACACTTTCTACTGGAGAAGAACGAAGCATTAAATAACTATATAAACATATGCACTGCATGGTTTATTAACACCAGGTCTTCAGTTTGAACATGCTGGTTTATATTTGTGTGTTGTTATCTGCTTAGTAACAGACACAGAGCAGAGCCAGTGGTCAGACTGACAAATGAGAAGAAGCAGGGCTGTAAATGGGGACTTTGGTGCAGGGACACATACCGTTCCATGCCACTCAAGTATTATTTTTTTACTACCCAACCCAACCACCACACTAGCACTGCACTGACTGTTTTATGATGACTGGGTTAGCAGGTGTACTGGACTATTTGAGACCCAGATTTTCACCAAGCCACAGTGAAAGTGGCCTTACATTAATCAGCCTCATACACATTCCTTCCTTTCACTTATGTGAAATGCTGTGAAGGAAACACACAAACCTTGTCCTCAGTTACACTCGCTGACCTGAAAGCCCCGATGAGAACTCTCATGACAAGAAGCTCACACAAATCTGAGACAAGCCAAGGCTCTATTTAGGCATGCTCTTCGAGGTGAGTCATTGTACCTCTGCCCTTCATGGAAATCCTCACATCCCGTGCCCTCCGCGGGTTGAATATCAAATGATTTATTAGCTGGACAGGATGGGCGAGAAATGTGATCATCTGGTGGTGGCACTCCTACATCTCTAGCTCACATACCTCCTTCCGTCCTTCTTTAGAATTTACTGGAGGCAAGTGTTGAATTTGTGCTTAAAATAATGATAATGTATGGCTGTAATTTCCCCACTCGTGTTTTTTTTTTTGCGATCAAATATATCTACCTGTCTGGAAGCAGCTGAAAACGTTTCCCTCGCACTAAACCTCAAGCAGTTTGCAGCAATACACAATATTCTGTTGAGAACAGCACAATAAATTCCCCCTCACACAGAGACCCTAGTCTTTACTCACAGCAGTCCTCTTTCCCGGAAAAGTTTCCTTCCACTCTGAGGGGATACTGCATCTTTTCAATTTCATATCATGTACTGGGGTGATTTAACCTTAATCATGTGTGCAGACTAAACTCAGAGGCTTATATCTAATTGGTTATTTCATATCTGCACAGCAGCAGGGAAGCTAGGGCTTAGAAGTGAACAGGTTCCCATGAGAAGGGCAAGTTTTCACTTTTCTCTCCTCATTGGTCTGACCACTGTTTGCATTTTAGCGTACACAGACCTTTCACTAGTCTGAGCATTACTGCTAACGATGAAGATGCCCTGGCTATGTCAGAAGATATGATCGTGGCCGTACCTTTGTTCGTTTCCAAATTAGAAGAGGCTTCCTCCTAGATGATTCTAGAAAGGGGCTGACAGCTCCTTATGCTGGATGTCACAACCTCGGAGAGCCTTTCTGGTGTGTCTGCTGGGTTTTGCAAAAGTGAGCCAAAGTGGGAGGGTTGGGGACTCCTGTCATATGAGGTTAAATGAAGAGGATGTGGGGGGGACTGGATGATTTGGGCAGGGAGGGGTTGCCTTGGAGGTGGGTGCAGGAGCCAAAAAGTGAGGAGTGGAGTGGGGAGCAGGTCATTTTTAGAAAAAGGAGGGAGAGAAGGGAGGGGTGGGTGAAGATTCAAATCAGCTAAATTAGGATGGGGTGAGAGAGGAGGAAGGCTGTATGTTAAAGTAGTTTATGTACCAAAGAGATGTTCTAAAAAAAATTATGCTCTCAGCAGGGGAGAGGGGGCTCAGAGATGAAAACGATGCACATTACAGGCCAGAAACTGATAAACACACCAGAAAACAGATCTGTAAAGCTCAGTGAAAAGTGAAGAAACCAATGTATATGCTAAAAAAACAAAACAAAACAAAACAAAAAAAACCCACGTTTGATATGGAAATACACTGCTCTTTCAATTAGTCAGTGCTTTTTCCCCTGCAGCTTGAAAGCTTTGACTTCATCTTTTTATTTTATTTTTTTCCTGAACAGGAAAAAAAATTAAATATGCGCATGCATCAGGTTATTTCTATGAGTTCCAAAAACTAAAAATAAATAAATAAATCTGTATACATAAAGGAAATACTACTTCGTAATAATCACCAAAGCCTTTTCATTTTTAAAAAAATTTTTTTATTTGGTCCATTGGAACCTGAGATTGAAAATTAAACATACATATTTTTATACACATATACCACGTCCCCGCTCCCAAAAAAAGAGGATCAATAAAATATATTTATATGTCTATATATATATATTTATATATATATATATATCACATTCTTTAGAGTTCATTATTTTCAGCATTAGGTTACTTTTTTGTATCTACTATCATATTTTAATTTCTTTTTTCAAATGGTCATTTTTTGCTTTTAAATCTTTAGTCTGACTTAAGTTTTCAGTTTTCTGTCTAAATTGTACAATTTACAATGAGGGTCAAAAAAAGAAAAAGGAGGAAAGGAAAAAAAGGGGGGGTTGGATGGGTCGGTCAGTGACCACCTCTTCTCTGGTTGTTTTCTATTCAGCAGCAGGGGGCGCTCCTAAAGCACAGAAGAGCTACGGACAGGACCAAACAGAAGACCAGCAAACAAAACTTAAAACTCCTGTAAAAAGTAAAAGTGATCCAGCAGAGACGCTTGATTTTGAGGTGCCTTCGCAGTCGTTTCAGTGCAGGTTCACGTCAATCCATCTGAGCTCAGAGTGAAGCTGTAAAAGCCTCATTACATTCCTTTATCTGTCATTCATCAGCTTCAGAAAAACAAGGCTGCAAATCACTTGTATGAATAAATTAAGACACAGGGACTGAAGCAGCTACGTGGCTGCGACCGCACATTCTCACACATGCACACAGGGCCAGACGGGGACGCACATCTGAAAGTGGTCATTACACATTGATGTTTCTTTGGAAAGCATATTTACAGTTACTTGAGCTCTGGGTTTCGTTAAAAACAAACGTTGCACTGCAAGCATCGGGACACAGTGCAGCCATTTAGCATCAATGATTTTTAAAGTAAAAGGAGAAAAATGAGATGATATGAAGTGAAAATTACCCATGATAAAATTGTAATTTCTTTACATTTAAAATGATTTAGATACAAAAAACAACAACAAAAAAATAAATAAATCAAATTTTCCCCCTTTTAATCATTAACTGTATGAATGCTGCTGGATTTTTGCTTATTAGGTTTCAAGTTTTTCTCCATTTCACCACAAAATTAACAGTAAGACATCGTTTTTAAAATAAAAAGTCTCCCACTCAATCCTGTCTCTATAGTACCATGTTAATTGTTCCCCTCTGTCTGATGAGACATCTATGTTGCCATGGTGAGGGCATGATGAATGAGGAGTAATGGCTTTGACACTGGGAAAAAAAACAAAAAACCGTGACCCTATATATAAGGACCTACGTAAAACAGCTATCCCTTGAACGAGCACACTCAGAGAGAACTATTTTCTGTGTCACAACCCATCTCGGGGGTCTCTTTCCTGTCTCGCTGTGTGTGCACCGAGTCTGACAAAATGATCATTTGTTATTTCACGAGGACTCTGTGTTGTTGCTAACAAGCTGTCAGTGTATTCTTGTGGGAGGATTGCCCAGACGCTCGCGCTGCACCCAAGCAAACAAAAGTGGTCCCTGCCCTCCCAAAGTAAACTCGGCAGCTCCTCTTAAGAGCTCCCCCATGGCAAACTGGCTGTTCAAACAGCCAATAGCGACTCCAGTACTCCCTAAGCACGTTATAGTATAAACTGACATGCTGGCAAACTGTGCAAGCGTGGGAAACAGACACTAAACTCACCTTCTGTACCAAACAAGATCAGATGCAATTTGCTGGGTGTTATAAACCTCAAGTGTAAGACTCATGTAATATGCAGGAGGGCGATGACTGGGAGGAGGTGCCATACACATAAATTTTAATTCATGGGGAAAGATATAAACTGTCTTCTGAAGTGGACGAGAAGCCCTCCAGCGATGAGACCCTAAACTGAGGCCAGGTGATTCCATCACGGCTCAGTATTTCACAAGATAAAAACCTTACAGTCTCTACAAACATGACCCCACTAACATCACAAACAGTGGAGACAACAGTGAAAAGATGCTATTGCAGCTTCTTGGGCACCATCCACCTGCCAATCCAGCTTACTGTACAAATCACAGGTTTGGTCCTGAGCTAGAGATTGTGCCACGGAGAGGGAACAGTACCGTATGAATGATGGCTTTGTCTACAACCTCAAAAAAACCCTAACACAAATATGGACAAGAGGCAATGAGGGTTGTGTATAAAACAAGTTAAACTCACACTGAGATGTTTTCCAAAAATGTAAAAATACAGGACATGTATGTTTCATGGGTAAAATCACTGGGGTTTGGCTCATAAAGTACCGCACTGAGGATAGGGGCGATAAACCCCCCCCCAGAAGTCTGCCCACTTTGTTAGCAGTCTTGGTGGATGACACGGGGGGAGGGGGAAGTGTCTGATCTGGTGGTTGGCTCATGGTCCGTGGGCCGGGTCAATGGCTCAGTAGTTTCAGCACCTCACCCCGGCTTTTTTTTTTTTTTTTGAAGCTCATTGAAAGCAGGGTCATCTCCAAGCATACCAAACTGAGGCCTGACATCTGTTTCACATACAGCAGGTGCTGCCAGCTATACAAAATGTCCAGAATGTTAAGTAGTCAGAACTGGATCCTCTCAGGTGCCGGGGTGAAATATTGTGGGTTTTTTTGTTTGTTTGGTTTTTTTAGTACTCCCCTGTCGCTCATTTTATCCTCAAATGGCACATCCAGTTGGCAAGGGACAGACAGAGCATGTGCAGTCCGGACAAAATCTCGAGCATCCATGGAGCGTTAGGAAGAGAGCAACTAAACGTTTCCCTCTCCCGTCATGCTTCACATTCAGATGCACCACCAAAGAGATGCAAAAAAACGCATCTTTCTCTGCATTTTAGGGATCCACACACTGTGCCTAACCTTGTCTGATTTTTCCAGTGGTCTGACAGTTTATTGGACTAGAGCAAGTGAGTCTGGGATAAAGTGGGCGGTGGTCATAGAGGCCGGGGTCGGTGCAGGCCGTCAATGTCCGGGGTGAGCTGGGGGCTGTGTGTGGCCTTGGTGGGGGTCCAGTCTCCCAGGGAGGCCTGGGCTGCCTTGCGGTGAGCCAGGCGGTGGGTGATGGAGAAGCCGGCATTTCCCTCCAGCTGAGAAAGCACCACCAGCACCTGCCTGCAGGGAGAGAGAGAGAGCCTTCGAGCTATTGTTGTTGACATTTAAATGCAGGTAGAGTGAATACAAACACAGTGGTCTTCAATCGTGCCTTGTGTATGAAACAAAAGTAAGAGACTGAAAACAACCACAGGGGGGAATTGGTTCAACTCTCCAGCATCATTTCTCCTTCGTCATTCAGGAGAAAAGTGCAGCGTCATTTAATTTAATCATGCATTAATGGAAGAAAATTTAAAAAGTGCAGCTACAGCTTCTGACGAAAAGTGGCAAAACAAACGGCTACAACAGTTATCCGATGGCTGCTGACGGACAAGAGCGCCACAGTCGTTTCATCCCACTCCCTCGTCAAAATAATTAAAATGAGTTTCAATTAACTGAATTGAAGTGATGTGAGAACTGCTCGGAGAAGCTAAACCCACATGTGGAGAAAACCAAGCTGATTAATCAGAACCAATGATTCATTCTATTTTCAAGACAAACTGGGATAATATGGTGACATATGGTGAGAAATAATAAAGGCTTGCTGCCCATGACTGTGTTACTCACACCTCTATGAATATGAATTGGATATGGTCTTCTTTTGAATGATTACATTGCCACTAAATGCTTTCACCTATGAATCGTATAAAGCAAGTGAGCGAAATATGAGACTGTGATAGTTTGCGATAGTAGCTTTTTAGGCAAGCAAAGTGACACTATGTTCTTGTTAGATGGAGAAAATGACAAGAGCAGCTTCATGCATGGTGACTTTTTACAGTTTGCCATTATATGGGCTGTAACTTTGTGACAGGTAAAGCCCTCAATTTTCCCTTATTGGAAGATTTCATGCTGTTAAACAGAAAACTAATAACATGTAAACGGCTTCTGCACGCTTGATTCTCCCAGCATCTATCTGCCTGGAGAAGTGCGAGAAACACAATAGAGACCAGCAGAAAACAAAAGCAGATATTAACTGTGCTGAGACCAGCCTGGGGTAGTTTATTAAGAAACACAGCGCACTAATCCTGTGAGATCACTGTGTTTATATAAGAATGCAAGTGTGGTGGATATTTGCTGCACCTAAATGTTCCCGGAGAATTTAATCTGTGCACTTGTTATCTTTTCTGACTTTGTGCGCAAGTGAGGAAAAGAGAGAGTGGTTTGTGTACCTGTGTAAAGGCGGGACGCTGTCGATGGTCTTGAGGCTGCCGCGTGTGGACACCACGTTGAAGCTGTCAGTGCAGTCACAGGAGACGTGGAGGTAGTACTTGGGGTGGCGGTTTTCCACCACCACGATGAGACCTGCCCAGCCGTGGGTCAGGTAGTAGCATGTCATGCCCTCACGGCCCTGAGAGCACACAAGGAAACAAGCTTGTTTTGTTTTTTTCATTTTTCAAAGCAGAAGGGTTGTTTTCTAAATGCAAACCTCAGATTTCACCACTTGTGCAAAGCTAGCACCGCTGATACTACGTCAGCAAAATACAGAACACGGTATCCTACATTTCTATTTAGTAAGAATACAGTATAGTATATATACAGTATCCTATAAAGCACTCACATAGTATAGTATACAGAATCCTATATTTCCAACCATAGGATATCCTATGTTTTCATTAAGTATAGTATGCATGTTTCCACATTGTATACATATAGTATTGTATATATACAGAATCCTAAATTTCCATATAGTATAGTATATATACAGTATTTATAATTCCATAGATTTACAGAGCATTGCGGCAACTATCTACAGAGAAGTGGCTACATTTCTGTAAGTATGGCTCTTAAATGCTCTTAAAATGCTTTTGAAATAGGAAGAAATGTGCTTAATACGAAGTAGCTTCAATGGAGAAAAAATACTTCTGTGCAATCAGTTTAATATTATTAAAATGCAATAATAATAATGATGATTTAAAAAAAAAAACATTCTGCATTCAGCTGCAACTTTACCTCTCTAACAGTGGCTGCTGTTGTCTTTTAGGGCCACTTGTATTTGTAGTAAAGCAAACACAAGTGCAGCTAAACTACTTTAGCTGCTGTCATTTGCTGTCACGTCCAATTGCACAAGCAATGCCATCCAGTGTCTGAAAAATAGCTTTGGGCAATACTTGTACTCTATCTGCTCTTAACACAAAGCTCTCCTTTCTTCACAGCTCGGGACTGCTCAAATTATTTATTAATAATAACTGAAAATCTTCATTTAACTGTATTGCTAACACTACAGCTGACGCACTGGCTGCCATGTGCTCCTGAGTGCTCAGCTGTGAATTTCTGAAGAGCTGAATGATTTAACAAAGATGATCTCAAGTGTTTAAAAAGCTCTGCCATCCTCTAAAATATTCACCAAATGTGACAGGCGCTTTCAGGAAAGCATTGTTCTGAAGAGCCAGGAGGATTTGTTTCCTTGGGTATGAACGGCCGTGCGCGAGCTCGTGCAAGAGGTAACGCACAGAAACGTGCACGTGTGAAGGCACAACAGGACTTGCAAGCATGTAAGATGCCTCAGATTGATGAGTATGAACCATTCTGACTGTGAGGATTTAGACTGTTGTGCATTTGTTTTTATTCTGCAGGCTCTGTGCTTTAGCTTGAGGAGGTCAGCATCATATACAAAGATTTGTATGTAGAATTCCTTTTAATAGACTGTCCAAATTGGAGATAGTGGTCCAATAGTGATTGGACAATAGACTATTAAATGTTTCTTAATGTTTCAGATGTACTTTTTCAACCCCATTATTTACTAATTTATGGAATTAATGCAACCAAAGACGTTGGGCCCATCTTAAGAAAGTGTGCACATACGTTAAAACAAAGGAAAAATACGAAAGAAACCCCCAAAAAACTGTGATGCAGGGCTGTGGAACTAACTTCTATGGACAATAAACCAAAAAACAACTCTTATACAAGTTCTGAAAAAAGGAAACGAGTGGAGGGGTAAAAGAGAAGAGCTCACAACACAAAGTGAGCTATCTCGTCTGTCAAAGATGAGATGGAGGTGCTTCTAATATGATCTGGTCTTGTACAGCATGGCTGCCAATAGACCGGGAACACAGTGAGTTACTGATGTTTAGGATAAATGCTGTGAGGTAGGTTGGAGCATTCTGGACAGAATACTCCATCCTGTTAGTGTATTCTTGTGGGAGGATTGCCCAAATTCAGCCAAACTCTGTAGAGGACAGTTCAGCATCCTGCTGTACTACCCAACTGTCAAAACAGGCTCTTCAGGGTGACTAAGTGAAATATCATAGACGAGTTAAAGTGTTAATGAACAGCTAAAACCACACTAAAGTGAGAGAGACCCCACATAAAAAAAGCTGATAGTAGCTGTGACAAAGGCTATCCCCAATGCCTTTGTCACAGCTACTATCTACTAAATATGATGGTTATGGTTGGTTAAACTATCTGATTACTTTGGTTATCCCAATGTGTTAAAAGCTTTATCTACTTGTGTATTTTCATTCCAACACATTTAAATTAAATCAGACACGTTCAGGCAGTAGTCTTTCACTTCAAAATAAATTGCTGAAGCGCACAGCCCGGAGATAAAAAAGAAAAACTTTCCAAATACTTATCATCTGGACTGTAATATTATACTGAAAGGCAATAAAACTGCGTGCGTGTGAGAAGGAGATTGGGGGTACAAAGAGAGACAAAACCCTACAACTATATACAGGATTCTCTGCAGTCCTGAGAAAAACTAAATACATCTTTGTCAAAACTGGCTATAATGATCACAAGCACAGTAGCAACTCTACGAGAGAATGACTGCAATGGCCCAGTCAAAGTCCAGACCTCCAAAAGATGGAAGCGCTGCGGTTTAGACCTAAACTCTTTACCTCATGTAATTCTACTAGGAAGGAATCTTAAAGATTTTTTCTGAACTGAGCTATTTGTGGTTAATAGTGATAAGAACAGTCAGGCTCCACAAATTCCTCCACAACAAGAAAGGGATAAAGTCATATAGAAAAACAATTTTTTTCCCCCCAAGTTGTAGCTGCTGAACCATGGAGTATATTTAATTTTTAACAGGACCCCACAGAGTTCTGTGAAAACCTTTTTCACTTGACTGTAGCAAGTAACACAAATATGGTTTGCATTATTGCAGCTTTACTACTTCTCTTTTTCTGGAATGGGTGTTTCTAACCTCGTGTCTTTCGCCTTTGTTTTCTGTGAGTAGAATAATCGCGTCGGCCAATGTGGTCGCGGTTGCTTCCACCTGCTCCACCATCACCTGACGAGAGCTGTAAATGGCCAGGATGTAGCCGGGGAAGTCCTGGCTGGGCCGCCGTACTGCTCCACTGGTGGGGCTAGAGACTGGGAAGGAGGGGAGAACAATTAATGAAGACAAAAATTAAAGTTTTTTTTTTGGTTGTTTTTTTTTAAAGTTCCTTCGTCATTAAGTGAACATTCACAAGCAAGAACACTAAAGCCCTGCCTGTGACCAATGCATCTGTACACTTACTGGGTGTGGGTGGACCCCCTGTGCTGCTGACATTCATCTGCCAGTGATTGAAGGCGCAGCAGACAACAGCATACTCCCCTGGCTCCAGCATAACATCACAGCCAACAAATTTCTTCACTGCTCGCTTGCTGTGGGCCATTAGGCGGCCCAGAGTCAGCTTGTTGCCACTACCAAAGGAGGCACGGAAGACCATGATGCACAGGTCCAGCAGGTGGCTGTCGGCTGTGTCGGAGCGCCTGGAGAGAAGAGGAAGAGGCTTAGGAGAAAAAAGGGCAAGGAGGAAAAATGTGTGGGTACTGAAAGATTTAGATTAGAGTCCTATTTACCTGCTTCCCTCTTGGAAAAGAGCAAACTCCAGTGCCGTCCTCTCCAGCACAGTGAGAGCTGTGACCGTGACTGGCCCATTGGCTTTGCTGGGGAAGCAGCCTTGTAGTCTCACCTCCTGCCAGTCAGAGTGGATCTTACAAATGTCCACTGAGTCAAAGTACCTGTGGGAAGGGGAAAAAATGTACATGTTTATAAAAGAAAAAAAAAAAGAAGAAGAAGAAAGAAAAAAGACCTGCATAAGAGCCTGTTCCTCTGAGATGCTAGCAGTGTGACCGGTTGATCTCCTCTTGTCATGAGCTACGATTATTTGTATGCATCACAGGCAACTCTTTAACGTTAGCATAGCCTCTGAGGGCATCCCTGTACAAACACAATTTACCTTGCTAGCATATCAGACCTCTTTCTTCAAAGACATCGGCCCCACGGGAGACTCTCTTCCTTACTTTCAGTCTGTTTTTCAGTGTTTCATCACTTCCTAACCTCGGTCTGACAACAGTCTTACATCTTACTTTTGTCTTCTTGTCAATCAGGAAGAAGCGAGAGGAGGAAAAAGAGGGAACGCTTAAGTTTTACGCTCAGCTTTGATCAGAAAAGACAAACACGTCTGCTGATGAATCCTCTTGTTTGTATTTAGTTCGCTTTTGTGTCTAGCCACCTTCCAGGAATGTTATCAATGATCAACATTGGCCCTGGTTGTTTACTTGATGGGCCAATTTAAGGGCCTTGCTTGTCCGAGAAGCTGACCGCTTTTTCTTTTTCACACTGAAAACAAGTCTAGGGAGATGCTGGCTGCAAGTTTGTCATGTAGTACAAAGCTGAGAGATTATTTGCCTGTCAGAGAAAACAATAAATAGCCCAAAGACATATGGGATTCTCATCTAGGCTGAACACATTTTTCAGGTTGGAGTTGTTCAGGAGGACAGCCACATTGTTATTCATGTCCCTCCTCCTTCATAATACAACAAGAGCAATAAATTCAGAGAGACAAATGCACTATACAGACAATTTAGCCCTACGTCAAGCTGCTCATGTTGTGAACTTCCTCCATTCTTCAGTTCTTTTTGCTGACAGTTATTTAAAAAAAAAAAAAACGAAACTTCCTATGCAAGTGGAGTCTTGTCCATTTATTCAATTACCCATGAAATATCATTTTGGTGAATGGTAGATTATATTTAAGCTTTATTACATTTGTAATTTGGATTCAGTTCAGTTTTCTTCAAATATTATGGCCATTTGAGTTGCTTGTAAAAGGGCCCTATTATAGCCATTTCCAGCTCCGCGTCATTATTCTTTGGCTCCACTAGAGTTGCTTTGCATGACTTTGCTCATGTGCCTCATTCTGCTCTCTGCCTGAAACAAGCAACTTCTCTCTCCTCAACTGTAACCCAACTTTCAACCGATTGGCCGCTCCTGGTAAACCAAGGGGCAGTCCCCACAGACCGTAGCAATAAAGCTAAAGCTTCCGTAGTGGATTACCTAATAATATGGCTTTCTCTGTGGTACCCACCTTTCAAGAAGAAGTTTGTGCTTCAGTTTTAATAAGTGAAATTCCAGTTTCTCTGTTAGTCTATTACTTAGCCCTAATTAGCTTATATGTGTCCTTGCATTGCAGCCATACAGATTACAAATGAAGCTCGCTAACAAGCTAGCTAGCTTTAGCTGATAACTTAGCACTACAGTCTTTAATCCAATTATGGGAACTTCTGACAGCGAAAAGAAAACACAGCAGCCACCAAAACGCTGATGTTGAAGTTTTTAAAAATGTGGTGATCATGGTCATGGGGGCTATGCTGTTTAAACAACAGATGGATGAGGTTGTTGTGTGCACAGGCAGAGGTGTGTAACAGAGATGGCCTTATTGGGGACATTAGTTTCACTGACATCATACAGAGCTAGCCTGAGGTTTGAGCTCATCACTGTTTCCTACTGTGGCCAGTATGAGTATCCATCTATTGTAACAGTAGAGTACAGAACAGGGGTGTTTATAATAAATATATAGGGGGTTAAGGGTGGCTGTAACTCAGGTGGTAAAGCGGGTCGTCTACTAATCGGAAGGTGGTTTGATTATTTGCTCTTCAAGCCTCCGTGTTGTATCCTCGGACAAGTTAGAGAACCCATATCTGCTGCCGATGCATCAGTGTGTGAATGTTTGGTTATAAGTAAAAAATAAAAGGCCTGTGTAAATGGGTGAATGAGGCTTGAAGTAAGAAACTGATTTGAGTGATCAAAGTAAGTAAAAAAAGCGCTATTTAAGAACACTCGTTTTTTATATGACAAAGAAAATAGCATTTATAGAAATACTTGAATAAAAACTGTGACTATTTTTCCATGTGATAACTAGAAGCGCATGTCAGCATGCAGCAAAACACAGATAGAGAAAAACTAATCACTATCAATGCTGTATATGACTGAGTGACAGGATTAGTCTAATATGACAAAACAAACTGAAAGCCATGACAAGCCTAAGCCGCTGCCTGCCAAATCCCCCCCTCCACAATTCTTAATAACAACATGTTGTGGAAACCAGTGTATGATGCGCTTGTCAGCAAGCAAAATGGAACGACAACAAAAACACTGTAACTCAGTTTGGTGTCAATACCAGATGGTCAGTAAAATCCACAGAGGCGTGAGATTGCCAAACAGTCCGTCACGTTTAACACATTACGTGTGTCCATCACGGTACGATAAAGGACTCTTTAACTCATTCAACCAATTCTAAGCAGCTAGTGGTGGGTAAATCGAACAGAAAGTCTTCTAATGAGAGTATGTTTGGAATAAACACAAGAAATCTGTGAGCGTAGCCTAGCGGTCACAGCCACTGGTCTATTGTGCCAGCAGGTACAGTCACTGACTGTGAAAGCAAACATGACAGTGATGACAACAAAATAGCCTCATTATACATAACTGTAGGAATTCAAGGGTTACTAGGGTATAGAGAGATTAACCAAAATGATTTCAGCATGACCACCCAAAAAAAGAAAAGGAAAAAAAAGATCACACTTATGCTGCGCTAATGATAATTACTTTATAAAGTCAGTGTACTCCATCCAGAAGACCCCTTCACTACTGCCGTGCGCCATCAGCTCATGGCGGAGGTGCTGAGGCCAGTCTGCCCACTCGTCTGACCAGCTGCCATTCCACGAGAAGCGACCCCAAGGGTTACGCAGCCGCAGCAACCTGGAGGCAGGAAGATAACGGAAACAGCGAGAGAGACAGATTCAGCAAGCAGTAAATGTGACAACAGCTTTCAGTCAAAGCAGCAACCCCCATCTCTGCACAGTCATATTATTCCTTTTATGGATGACTGGCTGCTTTTTAACAACCCTTTTTATTTTACCGCCTCCTCCATACTGTAGAAAACACAAGGGGCATAACAGAATAACATATTGGAGAATCTGTATTTTCCAGGAAAAAAAAGTAACAAAGTGCATGTGGTTCATTGTTTCTGGAGTGCTTTTTATCTCCTTGGGGCTCCTAGCAGGAGGATTGTAACTCGTTTTGGATCTAGCCCTGTGGCCAAGTCTAGCCCAAGCCTTCCACTCTGATTGCTTTATGGCAGTAAATGAAAGTGGCTGCGTGTGGGTTTTAAGCAAATTACTTCTGGGATTTCTGGCTACTGTCAAATTTTTTCCTCACAGGTAAGAAGGAAAAAGCCTTCATTAGGCTTTTCTCATTTTTCTAATTTGTGCCTCCTCAGTCCTCCGTCCTTCTAGACTGTGACCCGGAAATCAATTTCAGTACGCCATGATGAAGGATGACTTAATTCCTAAAATGCATCTGGAGAACAGAGGAGAGGAGAGGCTTTCCAAGCAGAGTTATAATAGAGGATGAACAGACAAGAGGACTAAACTCGCTTTTTTAATCCATACGATGTTCCAGTTATTTATGATAGTCAAAGATTCTGCCCCAGACTTTTCTGTGTGTGTGATTATTACAAAGAAGACATATATGTTCTTATAGTGCAAGGAATTGTGTGGATTCCCAGTGCTGCTCCAAACAGAGCAATCATACAGATCTGTTGTGCACCCGTTCTCTACTGGCAAGCCACTGGGTTCTGTGATGCTCAACATATGGCTCGTGGGCTTGTTCATGTTCTAGCCACCAAATAATAACACTGACTGATGACGGCCCAGATACATTTATTAATGGTGTATGAAGGATTTCTAAGAAGATACATTTGCAATAAGGAGGCGTGTTCAGAACAACAGAGGACACCTGTACCTGTAACCCTGGACATCTCGTACGTCCAAAATGGAATATGCATGTCGAGGTCTCAGACCCAACGACTCATAAACAGCATCGTCTACCTTCATGTTGCCTCCTCCGCAAGACGCTCCCATAAGAAACCTAAAAGACAAGGAATGACATTAGGACACTAATGCAATTACTACTCAGTAACCAGGGAGAAAAAAAAAAAAACCCACGTAAATTTAAAACTTTAACCTCGAGGTTGGGCAGACACAGTTACAGAAAACAAAAACAATAGTAGTTTTTAGTATATGTCACTAATTAATCCCACTGATGTGCCTCTATTTCAGACCAAACATCATCAGTGATGAACTTTGTCTCTGTTTACCATAGTACGTGAGTGAAGTCTTCATTAGTACACTGCTTTTGATAAAATAAATAATCATTCTGGCAGATGGACCTGCAGTTTGGACGCAGATGAAATGGCCCCTTTGGAGTTGCACTATTTGTCTCATGTTGCTTTGAAAGCTCGTGTATCAAAGTGATGACTGGCACAACTTTTATTATGGACACATGCTCTAAATTGGCATTCACCACCTTTGTAGTGCCCCTCTGTTTGTAGTTTTGATCAGAGAATATTGGTTCAAAGTGTTTTCAAACAAGGTTTATTGTTTTATATGCTCCTTTTAAACTGAACCACCTTTACTCCCTCTCTTACCCAGCCTCTTTGGAGCTAAGCATCTTGGCCCAAATGAGGTCTGTATCGATGGGTTCCTCTCGCGGGTTCGTGGAGCTGACCTGAAGCATGAGGGAGTCACACGGAGCCCCTGTCAGCGTGGCCAGACCCTCAATAGCACGCCCTGCCTGCAGGGCAAAGTAGGAACCGTGGAGTTTGGCCAGGGCCTTCTCAATCAACGCCACCCATAACTGCTTCCTCTGAGCCTGGAATGATTGTAAAAAGTAAGAGAGGAAACATCAGCCTGAGTATGACTCACTGAGAAAGGGAGCAGGATGTTGTCTCTGGGTTAGTTTCCTCTATCTAAAGGTCAATGAAAATGATAACCTGATAACAGAGGTAGGATCTCTTATTTGCTCTTTTTGTATCTGTTAATGTGCATGTGCAATGTTTTTCCAGCATTTCTTGCTTGCTCAGAGGTCACTGCCTCACCGAGCGCGACTTCTACCCTCTTGTTTTGCTCCTTTGTCTTCTTTGAAAAGATGACGTTTGTTGGAGTCATGATAAGGTGTAGATAAGGTGTCACGCTATCGCAGTGTGTCTCTCCCGTACGCATGAATGCCTGCTTTTATTTGCCTGTGCTTTATTCGTTGCATAATTCAGTACCTCATTTGACCCGTAATTGTTGGCTGTTCATTAATTAGATTCTTCTCTTCACTGGGGTCCTTTGAGATGTGCTTGTGATAAGAAATACATAATCAACTAACTTGAACTAATTAATTGCTTATTTTTCAGGGTTCACCAAGTCAAATGTAATTCTTTTTAAGAGTTGCCCACGAAATGCACTCGTTTTCAGGGTCAAACTAAGGGATGAGAAGGTCTTTACCAAAGTCTTGGATCTGTCAGTTCTTACCGGCAGTAATTTACCCTCATGTTTCAGAGATCTGGAGCAATTAATATGGGACATATCATGTTTTTCTTTATTTTTTCTGCGTATTAAGAATTCCCAACTTAATACACAGATCTGCAATATTTATTTCCCCAAAATTTCAGACAGTTGTTTTGAGTATTTATCCATTTTGTATATGTATCTAAAATTCCCTCTTGTCTGTTTACAGTATCAGCATAAACACCTTTCTGCATTGCACTTACCTGGGAAAACAGAAGGTAGCCGTAATCGTCGCAGGGCAACATGTCGTCCACCAGCACCGTCGTCCAGGTCCCGTCTTTACATAGCCGAACCTGGTAAGCCCCCTCTGGACAAATGGTCCTGGTGATCATCACCCTCTCCACGAGCTCTGGACGCTCTGCCAGCACAGCGAGTGCACTCAGGAACCTAGAGACCCGATAAAAATCAATGAACTGGAAAATGAAACGTCACATCAGGACGGACAGACGCGACTAAAACGAGGCACGAAGAAAATGTGAATTAGGCAGAGAAACCACATAAATGATCAGCTGAGTGTGATGGACAAGTGAATGGCTGAATGAGCGCCGTCTTCCGTCAAAGAGACAGACATGGTTTAGGAACGTCAACTGATGTGATTAGATAGGAATGGAAAAAAACTGAGAAGCTGCTATTAAAGTCTAAATGTGGAATTAAAGCATTCTCCTGAACAGAGTGCCTCAAACACTTATGAAAGACTTTTTTTTAATACATATATACATAATTAGCCCTCATTGAAAATCAATCACATTTGATGAGTCAAGCTTCTGTGCCTTCTGGTTACCTCCCCATTACTCTTAATACACCCCACAGCAAAGACAAACAGGCTTGCTTCCTCTAATTAACTTGCAAGAGAAATTAGCTAATCAAAAATCCAGATAGATGTGGAAAATGGTAATTCTTTACACTGGGGAATCACAGCTGGGGACATGAGGACTCGACTTGAAAGGGAAGAGAGTTTAAAGTGTACATTAGTTCATCGGAAAATGTAGAGAGATCTTTAAACACTATTAATGAAATGGCTCTGCAAAGAAAGGTCTTTTTGGAGGGGACAATGAGCTAAAGGTATTTGCCTCTGCATGCCGCAGACTCACTGCTGTACATGCACTAGTTTGATTCTTCTATCAACAAAAAAAGCAAAAAAGTTAAAAAAAAAAAAATTGTCAAATTGAGCAGCTACTTTTGCCTCTGGCAGTACTGCAGCAATATCTGAAAAGATAAAAGGAATGCTACTTTCAGTCTGCACATTATTTTATAGAGTGAAGCTCTTGTGTGGCGGCATTACTAAAGCTATATTCCATCTGTTTAAGTGTCAGATGAGCACGGCCGATCAACCCATTCAGTCACTGATGAAATACAAATTGGCCAAAAAACAAAAGGAATCCAATGAAAATCCAATTAGCCGCGTCATAATGTGAACTCTGATGTTGGCCTGTACTGCAGCCGTACTCAAGGACAGAGGCGACTGGCACGACTTTCTTCTGCCGTCACTGGTTGGCTGGGCTGGCAGAAGCTGGGCTGGCAGAAGCTGGGCTGTTTGTTGGTTTATTAGGACAAGTGTGAGCATGTGTGAGAGAGTGAGAGAGTGGGGGAGACGAAGCCAATGACAAAGAATTTGGGTTACATCCTGTTTCGAGTGAGAGGATTCTGCTCAGGGGAGGGTTATTTTTGATAAGCTGTGTGCGCTGGTGATGAAGCGAAAAGTTGTACTGGGGACAACTTCCTGACTGACTGTGCTTTGTTGTTATTTTGTGTGTGTGCGTGTGTGTGTACGTTTATGCTTACAGGAAGATGATGGATGACAACAGCATACACACACATAAACCCCAAAGGGCACCCAGAACAAGGGCAGGGAGATAAAGCATGTGTCCAGGACCACATTACTGTGAATAATCTCCCTGTCACATGTATCTGTACATCTGTCTGCTGTGCTCAACCTTTCATTTCATGCTTACCTTCTTTCCTTTGATTTTTTGCTGTGTTTTTTAAGTTTCTCTCTTTAATCCTCTTCAATTACTGTTTCACTGCCACGCCATCTCTAGCTCACAGCGGCAGTGTCCATTGAAAGCAGACTCTGACAGACGCACACAGAGAAGTGTTGGCTGTTGTCTGCTTTGCATTCCTCTGACCTTTCTCAGAAACTGAACAGAGACTTAACAGAATGAAAAATTTCCTGTTGCTTTGAGGATCTGCTGCTATTCTATTTTGTCTCCAATCAAACCATGAATCAACAACGCGTTTTTTGTTTTGGTTTGGTTTTTTATAAGGTTATCTTAAACGATCAGTGTCCTGTGTGTTCTTATGTTCAAGTGTATCAGCTTACCAGCAGTTTCCAAGAAGTCCTTGCAGGATGTCTGAGGGCCTTGGTGTGCGGAACACGGACCACTTGACTCCTCGGTCTTTGAAATTGCTGCAGTTGATCTCGTGGGGACGCAGCCACTTTTTGATTCGCTGCTGGACGCTGTCGCCCTCTGGGAAGCCGACAGATCGAGGTCCGGGGGGAAAACTGTCATCCACAAAGTTCACTGAATTCTGAGAAAGAGGAGGAAAAGACAGAGCGAAAGAAGGCAGAGAGACAAAGGAGTGAAACTACTGAACATGAAAACACCTCATCTGTAAACTCCAAAATCCATTTTAAAATATGATCACTCTTAAAAGGATCTTGTGTGAGGACCTGAAGCATTTCAAACTGCTAATGCAAGTTTTTAAAGAACCAACTATCCTGCAATTTCGCATGATTTGCAGGACAGTACAGACCATCACACAAGCCCTGGATTATGCTTTGAGTGAGGGTGAATTACTGCCTTCCACATTTACTTGTTATTCTTTCCACTTTCCACGTGAGATTATTATGTGCACAGTAAAAGCCCAACTGTGGCATCTTGTACTCTCCTAACCAGGATGTGGCACAAAAATGCAAATCACTTTCAAACATTTGGAGCTTCTTGCTTTCTGGCACATTCCCCTGCAGAGTACACCGCATTTTAAATTACATGATGGGTTCTAACACTGCCCCGCTACTGTACACAGGAGTAGAACTACACGGATACTTTAACAGATCCAGACACCGAACCTGACACACTATCTGCCCATCTAAAACTCTCCTGTACAAACCTGAGATGGCAAACAGCCACACACGCCAAACCCCTATCCAGTTTCCCATCTGCCGTGTCAGAAGTGGACTCGGCCAGTTGCATAGCAAGGCAGGCGGAGGGGTGATGTAAAGCGGGCACCCCACTGGCAGTTAGAGTGAAGCGAATCAATTGGTAACCATCCCCCACAATCCAATTCTGTAGCCTGGATGCAGCATTTGCTACTAGACAGAGTCATTTGAAGGCTTCCTTACCACCCTGGCCATTCAAGGTCGTCACGTAGCTTATCGATTCTGTAGTTCACAGGTTTATTTGTGACCCATGTGCAGGCTGTTAACGCAAGGCTTTTTTCGGTTGATATCAATTTAACACAGAGGTGAAGATCAAAGCTTTGTCCCTGCATACACACAGATCCTGAAATTCCAACTAATGCAATTCAAAGAATACAGTCTGTATGTTAACAGACATGAGAAAGACAACTATGATCAGCGACCAAGGGTTAAAGAGTCTGACTTGTTACATACAAACTGCTCTAACCCCAGCTGAGCTCTGGCTGTTACTAATGCAGCCATTAAAGCTTTTGTCTTTGTTTTCCTACTTCTGACACTATATTATTGTGGGATTAATTAATTTTCCTCTGAACTTGATGTAAAACCGGAAACATTATTTTTTACTTCATGTGAAATGTATGGAAGCCCTCGCATTTACAGTTCTATAGTCTCTATTTTAAGAATGAAAAAAATATTATATGAATTATTTTAATGTTGGTCCTAAGAGCTTGAAAAAAGTAGCTCGTATCCTCTTGGAATAGAGGTGAAATGTCTTTTAAAACTTTAATCTATTTGTCTTCTTTTCTTTTTTTCCCCCCCCAATCTCTTAAGACTACAATAAACTGGATGACAGGGAACCTACACAGACACACTTTAATGCTGCTACTGATGTGCGCATTTGCGCTACCAAAACCTACCAGGTTATGCTGCGTATCTGTTATCCATTCTTTCTGAACGCAGTGCGTGTGGTTTATCCGGTTGTACTCACATCCTGTATTGTGAGTACCTTTAAGGGTTTTGCCCTAACCCATTTGAAAGACATTATCATCAGCAGAATGATCTGCTGCAGTCTGCCTCAAAGGTTAAAGCCACTTGCCTATTCATATCTGGAGTGTACATGATGCTCTGTGATGTTAATTAGGCACTTCTGAAACGGCACAGTGATATGACACTCTGGACTGCAGTCTGGACTCAGAGGATCGTATAGATGATAAATTAACAAAAAAATTAAAATCAATGTTTGATCCTTACATTCTTGGTTCAAAACAACCATTTTTCTCTTCTGTGTGGAGCTCTACCTGTGCCTCTATAGGATCCTTCCACAGTCTAAAGACATGCTTGTTAAGTTAATTGGCTGTGGGCATGTATGTAAAGTCTGAATGGTTGTCTGATTCTATGCGTTAACCTGGCAACTTCTCCAGCACCCTATGACAGCTGGGACAGACTGGGATCCCTACAGTGAGAGCAGCAGCAGACCCATTGTGCTGTTCTTGTAAGCATTTGGTTTCATTTAAAGGCTCCTTAGACGTGTTACACAAGACTTTCCACTGTTATCATTAGAGCAGAGCGATATGGCCAAAAATATTTATCACGATATATATTTGAAAATTTGCGATAACGATATAACTGACGATATAATTGATGCGAGACAAAATACAACTCCACAACATTACTAGCGCAAAAAGACAACCTTCCATTTATTTTCACTTAAACAAGAAGCTGGTTTTTATGTACATTAAAGCTTTATAAAAATGTAACAGTGCAAATGCAAATTCCTTGCTGAAAGTTTAACCAAAAGGCATTTCCAGTAGAAATGGGCTGACATATCCTGAGCATAACCATGTATAATATCCACTGAAGTTAAAAAGAGGTGCTTTGCAACATTAAACTGCAGTGTGCAGTACGTATTTTTCGGACCATAAGGTGCACGGGATTATAAGGCACATTAAGCGAAACAAAGCAGTCAGATAAATCAAACTTTATTAAACTCATTCTTCTTGCTTCCTCCACTTCTGTACCATTGATTCATTAATGTTGAATTCTCTGGCAGCTGCTCTATTCCCATGTTGTTGCAGTATATTAATGACTAACCTTGTATTGTGGATGGATTATCTCAGTTGTTCTCCTGACTGAAGTTTGGTCCGTTTACAGCATCCTGCCATGCGATTGCATTTGTCTCTAACTATCAGGAACCTTAACGTTAACTTTTATAAGTGGAAAAGTGTTAGTGTTCGTCCTCCAGCTTCACTGTTTATGTTATGCTAACATAGCTGTGTCGCTAGCGATCACGTAGCACATCATTATATACCAGCTAGCCCAACTTCAGTAACCCTACAAACGTCACTGCTGTTTAGTTTCCTGTCTTCATTTATGTTGGAAGTGATAGCAGAGCTGTACGTTTGAATTTTTTCAGAAATCTCTCAGTCAGAACATGCTATATCATGCTTAGGTAACTAGCGAAACTAGCGAGCTAACTTCTGCTATCTTACTGCTAACGTCTAACTCCGTTAACTGTAATAAATTTTGTTTTCATGGATGCCTGGATGTTAAACTTCATAGTTACACCTGGTAAAGGAGCAATGCTGATCGTTTTATTAAAGATGAAAGAATTTAGACAGTTTTTAACTCTCAGTGATGCTGCAGTGTTCGTTTGACCTGACGCATACGGAGTTTACTCCCAGATTTAAGAGCATCTTAGTCCGACAAATATGACAATAACAACGGCCGCTTGCATGTTCTGCAAAAAAATGTGCTTTGTCGTGCATCTGACGGACAAACACCAAACCAGTTCCACATCACTGAAGTTGCACCATTTTTACAAACCAATTCTGGTTCATCTGTTTCACTCAACAATCGGCCATGTGCGTATGAAAACAAAGGCACTGCCCATGCGCGTTTTACTCATATTCTATCGCGATATTTCATTTTCCTATCGTTGCCTAACATTATACCAGTATTACCGTGAACGGTATAATATGGCCCAGCCCTAGTTATCATAAAAAAAATAATAAAATAAAAAATATATATTTGGAAAGAATGGAGGCTCAACACCTTAGAAAGGCAATTTAGATCGTATTTCCCTTTTTAACTTGCGTCACATCTCTATTAAGATGCAGTGTGTATTTAATGTGAGATTAACCTTGAATTAGCATTAATTCCTCATATCGAATATTCTACAATCCAAGCATCAAAGTTTAAACAATCTGACTTCAGCAGAGTGTAAAATTAGGAATTATAACCACGTATAAAGCAATTTCCTAAATCAGGATTCTGGTGTTGTGGACTGTACAGGATAATTCTCGCTGGCTGTCTTGCCACCTCCGTTTCCATCGCCGTGCACATGTAAGCATGCAAACACTGCAATCAGCCAACTCAGTGCTGAGCTAGGAAAACCAGCTGCTTTCCCATCATTTCCAGACTCAGAACTGGCAGCCATACAAGGCTGTGTCAGTCTCATTCTGATACCCAAGCTACAAGATTAGCATCTTGAAAGCATATTTTATGAAAAAGAAGAAGAAGAAAAAAAGCCTTCCATGCACAATACTGTAACAAGCAGCACAAGCCTGGCAAGAAGGTCCTTGATAATATGGCACAAAATTAAGCAACTAAGTAGTATGAAGAGTAGTAAAGAGAAGAACAATCTGCTGCAATGTGGCCTGGTTTTATTGCATAGCACGGAAAGGGAACAGCAAAAAGCAGTTCAATCCATGCTGTGTGTCACAGTTCACAAGTTAAGTTGATGGCTGTTAGCAGCATTTATTTGTTTGGCACAGTGAGTAAGCAGACTGCTCTCAGGCATTAGCACCATGCACACGCACACGTGCCTCTCACCCTCAAAACCAATCAGGAAGAGTCAAAAAAGCAAAAAAAGCAAGAGAAAGCAACCACACTCAGGTGAGCGGAGAATATTTTTTATAAAAAACAAAAACAAACTCCAGTTCCAGTTTGGTCCAGTTACAAAACAGCAGAGAAAAAAACAGGTGCTCTGAAGCGGTCCCTCCATTCTTGCTGTCAAACTGTACTGCACATCCTGTTACAGCCTAAACCAAAAGCTTTAATCATTATTAAATTTTCACCACTGGCATTTTGGTGCTTGGCAAGTGCTCGTGCCTTGGCAGAGATGGATGAGAGAGACTAGCACCTCTTGTTTACCAATTTACCCCACCTTAATCTCTTTGGCCCGTGAACCCGAGATGCAGCAGTTGATGCAGTCAGTGATTACGTTCACTATAGGGAAGTATATCATTTGTGCTCCCCTCCACTCCAACTCCGTTGCTAAAAATAGGCCAGCCCTACGTTCACCTTAGCAAATACACATGCGCACACACACATCCAGGCTCACACTGACTACTACAGTGGAGAATAGAGTGCAGTCGTGTGGAGAGGGTGGAATGGGGGTGGAGGGGTGTAGTGGGTGGCAAGGGGAAAGTGTATTTTGAGGTATTAGCAGAACAGGATGAGCATGTGGGGATAGATGTGATGGAAGGAGATGGGATAAAAGGAAGATGAAGTACTTTGAAGAGCTCGAGAAAGGGCAGACGTAAAATATTTGAGGAGAAAAAGACAGACGATAAAAGAAAGCGTAGCTTAAATGATGAAATTAGAAGAGGAGAAGGTGGGGATGAGGGATCTCCGATATCCTTCCTTCCTACCGAGCCAACTTCCCTCCCACGCTTGCAGCAGTGAGCCCTGTGACTTTCAAAGAAGGCATTAATAATGCATTCGAAGGCTCACTTTATGCTATTGTAAACATGGCAGGATAGGTGTCATGCTGGTGTAGTAAATGGGCACACATCTGACACCCAAATAAATTCACAGAATAAAAGCCGGCTGGAAACTTAGCTGAATCTAAACGGTCTAACATTCTGCAATGCCCTCATTTTCTTGAGGTGTAATTAGACCAATCAGGTCGGTCTCCCGAGCAGGTGCTGGCGGTCTTAAATGGTTTCAAATGAACCTTTCTGATAGGCCTGAGTAGCTTATCCATCATAACATAATACAGGCTTATCAAAGGTTGGGCACTGCAGAGATAAAGTGAGCCTGAACCAGTTTGATATAAAGAACCGATGTCAGGGTTGCTTTCATCATGGCACAGATAAGTGGTATGAGGCCCTGGGCTATGGTGAAGACTCAGGCTCGGGATGAGAAAAACTAAACAACATCAATCATCTCATGTCATGCCAAAAAGTGATTTCTAGCATTTGCCAAAAAATGACTGCCTGTAATTAAACTGTTGTAAATTGACTTGTTGATCTTTAATCTGTCAATCATATTTCAAAAATGAATGACATCAAGTCATTTTAATCCAGAAAGAACATTCCTGTCACAAACTAGAGGTTTTTCGGCACAACATCTACAACAGAGAAGCTAGCTGAACTCTCCTGTTAAGCTAGTTATGTTGAGGGTTGAGATATTCTCTTTAAAAACATAATTACTATAAGTATGTTCTTTTTCAATTCAGTAAAAACATCATAATTAACTTTTTGCAGTGTGATATTTGTTTTGAGTGTGCTATAGAAGGACTTCTTGCTGTCTGTCCCGACCTTGGTAAAATTAAAGTACTTAGTTTTGTTTTAAAAGGAAATTACATTCATAATGATATTTCTTATCTCTTACTGAGAGGTCTGCTCCGACACAGTGAAAGGAAATATATTTCATTAAGCAGTGTAAAATCTCTCCAAAATACAAACTAAGCTACAGCTGGACAGGAAAAAAAAGATGGACATCACCCATTGGTTCAAGTTCCAGCAATGAAGAGTTATCATTTTGTACAATGGCATTTTTGGATTTTGGGAACTAGAAAGCTGTTAGTGTGATTAAAATAATATTTGCCTAATAATTGCATAGAAAAATACTCTTAAAGAGACCAACACCACAAACATGGTTGGCAAGTCCAGTTCAGGGGCTCGTATTAGCTGAGGAGATGCCTAGCTTAAAGCTGAAACAGCATCCACCTGTCAGTCAAAGGAGACGCATCAGTTACAGTGAGTCCTAATAAACTGGTGAAACAATTGGGGGGGTGGGGGAGCACAGCAATACAACTGTTGTGACCAAAACATGTTTTGATACCAAAAAGATTGACTTCTGCTGTTGGGCAATTTAATAAGAGAATTTACTAGAATGGACTCATTTTGGAGCAATCCTCAAGTGGCCATTACAGAAACTCTTTTTGGCACTTCCACCTTGGCTTCATTTTCAGCCTTGGAGATTGCTGCTTGAACATAACAATCAGAACAATCAAAAGACACAATCAAACCAAAATAATGCAATCCTCCTGACACAAGAGTCACAGTCGTCAAACAGAATTTCAAAATTCTGTGAAGTGACTTCACTGCAGCTGAGGGCCAGAGGTAATCTGGTTATAAACATTAGACTCTCCATATCCGTAGTTCATTTAGGTGGTAAAGATTCACTGTATGGTCGTTAAAAACCCAGCTAAGGAAGCAAGCAGAAACATGGCAATAACAAAACCTATTGACATTTCTCTGAAATTAGAGATATTAAAGTAGTGGGAACAATGACAGCACAAAAAGAGGAAATACAATGAGAGAACTGTGCTCTGAAAGGCAATGTGTCCCCTCTGATGCATTACACATTGAAATTAAGCAGCCTTTGATGTCTCAAAGTCAGGACATTCACATGCATGCAAAGTAAGAAAAAAAAAAAAAAAAAGGTGACTCATGACATGACTAACTCAAAGGAACTAGAACGAATAGTGTACAACCACACTCCAGAAGCAGCCTCAAATTCTCAATAATTACAAACAGCAACATTTTTCTCTTACCTCCCGGCAGAAGCTGACTATGTTCTCCCAAAGCTCCTTTGCCTCCCCCTCATCATTCCGTCGTCGCGCCTCTACATGCATGCTCTCCCTTCTCTTCAGAGGTTTAACCACCTTGCGAAGGGTGAGGTACTGCTGGGGTGTGTGGCATGCTGCACAGTTCTTGGCTTTGATATCATTGAGCAGCGTGCATGCTGGACAGCTCCACTGTCCTACCTTCTCCTGGAGGCTAGATGAGGTGGAGGACGAAGAAGAACCAGAGGAGGCAACGGCAGAAGAGGATGAAGGAAAGCCCCGGGCCTGTTTACGTATTTTATGACCTGAGGATGATGAAGAAGAGGAAGGTGTGCAGGAGCAAGATGCAGTACCAGGTCCCACTGGGAGGCCACAATGTGTACAGCAGCGGGGTAGAGGCACCTGCTGCTCCTGGAAGCCATGCAGCTTTGAAGAACCACAAGCTGAGCACTTGGGAGCACCTGTAGGGTTGCGCAGCGTGCACTTAGAGCAGGCCCATGTGCTAAAGTCCGGGCTCGAGGGGCTTGCTGGGGTAAATCGTACCGTTTCACAGCCTACTAGGTCGATGAGGTCAGCACCACCCCTTGACGATCTGCAGGTCTCGCACTTAGCCGAGCTGCCTTGGTTGGCCACGGAGCAGCTAGGGCACTTCCAGGTAGAGGCTGATGTGGAAGCAACAGGTAGGTGGGGCGTCAGTGGGTGGTGCTGAGACTCTTCTTCCTCCAAGATACTGAGGCGCTTGCTGGGGTAAGAAGGTTCCTGGGGCTGGGCGTGCTTGGGCTTAGCTGGCCTCTGTGGGCCAGGTTGGGGTGGCACACTGGCAGCTGAAGGGGAAGTGGGGCTGGGAGTGTTGGTTCCTGGGTTCGGTGGGCGTCCCGGAGGCGGTACCTCTCGCCTGCTGCGAGGCACAGGATTGTTCTGGAGGGAGGAGAATGAAGTAAAGGTGGAGGCGAGGGCCTGTGAAGACGCATGGGGAGCTTCTTGAGGATCACAGGGCGGGGCTGGGGGGGAGTCATCTGTTAGGTCAATCAGTAGCGGGGCCGAAGCGGCTGTGTGAACAGGAAAGCCCAATACTGGCGTGCGTACCTCAGGCACTACCAGCGCTTCTGGGGGGATTTTAGGCAGAGACAGTTTTCTAGGCCCACCACAGGCTGAGCATGAAAGCGCCACAGGGGTGTTGTGAAGTGTGCACCGAGGACAAGCCCAGCCCGCCTGCTGACCCTCCTGACCACCCACCTCTCCATTGCTCTCAGACCGCCGAAACACTTCCTCCTTAGCTGGATGCTGTCCATGGGGCTCAAGTAGCACTGTGGGGGTGATCGCGGGTGTTGGGGGCTCAGTGGGAGCAGAAGGGAGACCATTGGCAGTGGCAGCTATGGTGGTCGTAGGAGGTGTGTGAGTGGCGGGTGATGGACCAAAGCCACAGACCGAGCAGGCTCCAGATCCCTGCGGGTTATTGAGGGTACAGCGGGGACAGGTCCAGCGGTGTTCCTCAGTGCTGCTGAGGCGCAGGATCTGGTTGAGGTCAGGTTTCTGGCGTGGCGCCTCACAGATAGAACAGCGAGGTGCTGCACCGGCATTTAAGAAAGTACAGCGCCCACATGACCACTCACTGCCTTGCACCGCTGCTGCCATGGAGCCTGGAGAGTGAGAGTGGCTGGAAAAAAAAAAGGAGAAAAAACAATGAGTCAGAACAGAATGAACCAAACAAATCAGTCAGTAATACATTTTGCCATATAAGTGCTTGGCAAAAATAGATGCATATTAACTATATTGCTGCATAAACGCGCAAGCTATTTCAGTCAAGCGAAGCTTAAAGTGTCAGCAGAGCAAGGGAGAAGAGAAGGAAACGTGACAAGATTTTTCTTATGGAAAAAGCCAGAGAATTCAGGGTGATCACGTAAAGGAAGAAAAGAGCAAACAGCAAAAACAACCCAGAAAACGCAAGACGAGGAGAGGCAGAAAGAAGTAGAATAGAAAAATACAGTGCAAGAGGGAAAGATTAGTCAGTGCAGGGGGGGGGAAAGGGGAAAAAAATCAAATCTCCCTCCTGGGGGCACTGAGGGCAGTAAATCCATACACAATGGCCACCTGATTAGAGCCAGGGAGACAGCGCACAGTGAGGAGGAGCGAGAAGAGAGGAGAGGAGGCTGCTATCGCCTCAGAATACTAGGACAGTGTTGCTTGAGTTTCCCTAACTGACACTCACTAAAACACAGGCGAGAGAGAGGAGGAGGGGAAAAAAAACAAAAACAAAACAAAACAGAGAACACACACACACACACACACACACACACACACACACACACACACACACACACACACACACACACACACACACACACACACACAGAGGATCTTTTCCACTTCATATTAGCCGCTCTCTCCCCTCTCAGTGAATGTTAATGCAGGGTAGATGGGAGCAACTTAAGGTCACGTCAATCTCTTGCCCAAATGAATCTCAAATGGATGGGTCTATTAATTCTCACAGCGCTTATGACTCAGGCATATTTTAAATGGCAAGTCATTCATGCCACTGGAGTTACAGCAAATTTAAAGCTCGCTACTATCCACATATCTTAAGAGGACTCAAACAGAGAAAACAGCACAGAAAGAAATCCATCTATTCGGGCCCCTCGGTTTCTTTCCACCTCTCGCAAACTAAAACCTAAAAAGGAGTCTGTTACTGTGGATTGACGTGTGTACAATCCTTTCTGAGTGCCTGCAGTTCAGTCAATCTGACTTATTGATAGAGGGTATATTAGGGCCTTGGAGGGAAGGCAGCACAGTCGGATACTTCCAACTGTGCAGTAGAGAGGGTTGGGGTGGGGGCGGATTGAAGAGGGACAGCCCCAAGGGACGGACACGGTTTCTATCTGGACAAACCCATAAATGTCAGTGTCACTCAGGCTGCTCATGTGTGAACACCAACAGAGAAGGTAATGTGGGGATTTTAGGATAGCTGAGGGGAAGGTGCCAAGAGCTAGGATACTTCAGTGTTTTTCACATTGACCCCAGCAGAGAACATGTTGCCCTCAAAGTCACTGAAGCTTGTTGATCTTCTGTGTGATATTTTGGTTGGAGAACTACATGTGCTGTGTTAAAAGATTTCGTTTAGGGCATGAGCCTGAAACCTTTACAATCAGAGCAGACATTTTTGTACTTCAGCTCTGCATTCCCATTGCAATAATGCATTTGTTGCCTTTTTTCATTTATAGACCAATGGTATTGGTCTTAAAAATATCGGTCAGGTTCTAATTGGGCAAATGAATCATAATTAAAAGTAATCTAAACACCTGACAATTTATTAGCTTTAAAAATAGCCCAAATAAAAAAGGGAGAACTCCAGGTGCATATCAAGCAAACCAGGAAGACAGCTGCTCTACAGTCACAGGATTGCAAGCTCTAGGTTGGGGTAGGGGTTTGGCACTTAATTGTGACGCCAAACAAACACCACACCCACAGTGTGTAGCAGGTAGCAGTAAGTGTACTGGAAACAATGGTAACACAGGACAACCTTTAGCCAAAACATGAGAGCCAATGACCTTAAACTCAGTAGTGCAATTGCTAAAGTCCCCACCAATGCACCCACAAAGTGGACTGGATAAATGACTGTCAAGGCAGGTGAAAAACAGACAAACAGCTGGGCATACAGAAGTTATAGTGAGATCTGAGACTCGATGTAAAACAAACTTTTTCTATAAAAGCATATTCTGATAATTCCTTGTTGCTGACACTGCAGTTTGGAGTGCCTGGGTCCTGCTCCTCTCCCCTGAAGTGCCATGTGTCACGGCCAGCCAACTGCCTTTAGTTCAACTTCATTAAACCTTTCAAATCAAGCGAATCCCCAGATCCCAGGGGGACCTCTTACAGACGACCTCTTGCTCCCAGCGCAATGTCTGTTCCTCTTGTCATCCCTTCTCCCAGAGGTAAAGAGGGAAATGACAAGCAGGAAGAAATGTGAACGTGTTACTTTAGTTGTCTCTTGAGTGTGTGGGTCCTCGCTGCTTGGTTGTATGCTTGCATGAATGCAGGCATCTAGCTATATTTATCCATAGATGCAGCACTGCTGCTAGTTTTATTGTCCACCTACATTTGTGTGTTTTCTCAGGATAGCAAAACTATAGAAGCAGAAGCAAATAGTAGCCTTTAGCACCCCTGAAGTCCACACTGTAAGGAGTAAATTCAGCCTTCTAATGATAAACAAAACATAGAACACACTTTTTCTTTAAAAGCACACAAACGCTTTTATCACTGCATTTATCTGCAATGTCTTCATGGCTGCTCTGCAATATTAAGTGCCCTTCTAGCCACTAACAAAAAAGGGGTGCCAATGAAGTAATGTTCATCGAGTAATAATATTAAGGACATAACTGACATTGTTCATCTAACCACAAAAAAAAGAAAAAAAGAAAATAAAGGTCTGTGGTGTGTCCTGAGACTACAGCCCTGTCTCCGCACCTTCAGCAGCTATGCTAAAAGTAGTTGAATTAAGTGGCAGCACTGTGCCAGCTGGGATGGCACATGTTTACATCATGTTTGGCTCTCTAAAGGTCTGCGTATCTGAGTGCCGCAAACATCAATGACGACAACAAGTGTCAACACCTCATGTTTGATGACAGATTCTACCCTGTGGACATTTATAACTGTCAGGCCTCTTTCATCTACAGCAAGAGAGCAAAGTTGCAGTGTCAGCCACGTGGAGAATTTGTCAAAGCAATTGATGTGGTTCTCACTGGAGCACAGGGATCACAGATTCATTATATTTCCATCTTTAGCTGACACCATGAAAGCTTTTTATTAAAGTGATCAGCCTCAAGGATTTTTTAAAATTATCTTATTGATACTAGTTATAAGCAGCGGTATTTACCTCTCACCCAGTACGGTGTGATGAACAACTATAACCTCTCAATTGGGGTTCTCAATGCATTTTGACTGTACTATGTGCACACCCAGTACAGTACTTTTCAAAAGTTTTGAGCTACCCTTCACTTATTGCATATTCAAACACACATGGAAATACTATATATAAATCAAAATCAGAGTTTGTACAATTCTAAGAAGCACCTTTATTCTTCAACCAAGTCTGAACTTTCTTAGTCAAGCTTTTGTTTTTTTTAGTAGTCTTCAGGAATAGTTCTCCAGACTTCTTGAAGGACAATCAAAGCTCTTCTTTGGATGTTTCTGCCTTTTGTTCCGTTCTCTGTCCAGATGATCCCTCACTGCTTCAATAATGCTGAAGTCTGGGCTCTGGGGAGGCCGATCCATGACTCATGTGTTTTTCCATCCAGGTATGATGTTATTGTACTGGTAGTTTGTTTGGGATCATGGTCAAGCTGTTGTCAATTGAGATACTTTCCCGATGGAAATTGAATTGTTGTTCAAAATCTGATAGTCCCTTCAGTGCGTTCTTAATTGAATCAGTTTTGACGGGATCCCCAACACCACTGGGTGAAATGCAGCCCCAAACCATGACAGAGCCTCCGCCATGTTGTACAAATAAGTGGAGACACTCACCATTTGTACAAACTGACAATAATTTAAGCCAAATTTTCAAATCTTTATTTTTTTAAAGGCCGGCTACCTTTTCTTTTGCCCACCACTTGTGCAGTTTCCCCAAATCATTTAAGGACACATTTTGTGGCACACAGTTTCAGCTCTTTCAATAAACACCTTGTTGGTGCAAAAATACTATTACATGCCTATCAATTTGTGTTCTCTTTGGCTTTTTTGTACAGGTGACAAGAGACATTAAGAGTTTCAATATTAACAGGAACCTATAAAAAGTACTCCTGTAGCATTTGAGGACTTTCGATCAGAGGTCATGTTCAGAGCTGTTCAAACATAAATGAAACCAGGATTCCTGTAACTCTGCAATGTAAGAGGAAGAATGATTCACAGGCCTGGAGAACTACGGCTTAACCCATTTTTTAAAAACATTTAAATAAAGTCTGGCTGCTTGGAAACAAACTATATAAAGAATTGAGGGGTGGGTCAAGACTTGCACAGGACTATATGTACAATACATGCGTGCAGCAGAGGATGAAGTGCTATAGCCTGTGATCCCTGGACCATACTTAAAAGGATGTTTTTAATGTACATGTTCCAGTCACTAACAAAAGTGTGCAGCACGCACACACATACACACAGACACATGCACACACCTTTTGTCCTTGGCCCTGTGCTCACTGGAGCTGGTCTAAAAGTGCCCACTTCAGCTCCTCTGTGTCGCAGACCTGGGCAGTCAGCCAGTAGCTTACACTGAAGAGGAAGAGAATAGAAGAGCACCCTCACCTCTAGAAAGCCTATCTTTCTGCAATGAGGCCCTCAATGAAGCCTGCTGCCCATAAAGTAGTTTCTCTGAAACTGGAATTTCACTTAAGTAAAAACATCTATGACCCTGCGGTGATTTCTCAACGCTTCACTGGGTGTCAGACAATCACAGTTTCAGCAGACTGTTATAAAGAGTACAAGTCTAAAATGTCTTAGTGGAAAATGAGCAAGTCTGTAATATTGCATAAAAAGAGTAAATTAACTTCCACAACTCAGGTGTCTACAAGGAAGTCTTCAGGGTTTAGATAAGAGTACCTACAAACAGCAAACATAGTCAAGATGATCAGTATCTACAGCACCCTGGATACAAGAGATGTCAGAAAGGCTTTAAGAAATGCTACAAAATCACTGATAACTGTGTCTAAGGCCACCTATGGCTCTGGCTACTTGGATTCATTATACATACTGAACTCTAATGAGAGATCAAACGAGGAGAATCTTGCCAGTCTCTCCCTGCCTCGCTGTGAGACATTTGGCCTTTGTGCGACAGTCATTAGCACTGCCTTTCCAAGGTTGGCCCCGAGCCCAGGGCCTGAGGGGAAGGTGTGGAATCGCCACTGGCCATTAGAGGCGCAGTGCTGCTGATTTACTCATTCAACACAAACATAAGCATGGCCACAAAAAAAAAAAAAAAAAAAAAAAAAAAAAAAGGATGTTATCAGCACAGAAACTGTGGCTGCTGTTGGTAGCCTAGCTCCTTAATGACTGACCACTTTAACATTTTAATTTTTGCATTTGTAGTACTCACCGTATTTGTCTTATAGTACAGTGTCAGTTCTTCTGTACAGTGCAGGCATTGTGATTTTTATTCTTATCTAAAAACGTGCCAAAAATGTCAGCTTCCCACAATTCAAGCATTTAACCTGCTGTCTAATAAATGAAGTCTGACACAGGACCGAGCAGAAATATAAAGCGAGTCAGTCAGCACTTCAGAGATATTAAATGACAGATGGCCTGTCAGTTACCGTAGCGCAAGTGTCATTCAGGCTCTATGACAGTTTGTCTAGCTGAGCTTGAAATTTTTTTGCAAAACACACGTTTCCTCAAAGCCTTGACAACAAACATTAACTAACTACGCAGCAACTATACAGAATCCCATGACCTCAACATAATGTTTATTCAAAATTCTTGCTGCCTGCCTGAGTGCCAGCTGATACGTTTCTTATCATGTGCGTGCACTTGGGACATATATCTGAAAGGAACATACCGAGTCAGCTCTCTGGTATGAAAACATACTTGGCAGACAAAACGCAGACTCCAGCTGTAGGTTGGTGTCGGTACATTTGTGTGCAGCTTGTAGTGAAACACTGATCCAGTGAATATCAAATAGAGTTGGCTGCCTGCGAGCCAATTTGATTTTGTTAAAGTGAAGGAATTTTTCTATCAAATCTATCTAAACTGAGCTCAGTTTCTGAATGAGGTGAAGCAAACTTGCTCCGCTGTGGGGTGCTCCTATTTAATAATGTATCCAAATGCATACACTGCTGGTTCGAGCCTGCCAGTACACCTTACACGCCTGTCTGACGGGAAGAATTGTAAATGTAGCTGCTGCTCTTACACAGCATGCAAGACAACAGAGAAACAGTGTGAGAAAAATCTTGCAAATTTAGTGTCTCACATTTAAATTCAGGTAGCACGAAGCAGCTGCCTAATTTAACATTTTCATACAATCGCTTTAATTTTCGGCACTTAATTACTCATTCACTTAAATCGGAGCATTTAACATCGTTAGGACTCGTTTTTGAAATTTTGCTTGTAATCAGTGAATTTCTACTTGTGCTTTTTCTACTTGATGTGTCCAAGTAGGAATTGCTGGCCTCTAACTTTGATCAACTGTGCTCAACTTCAAACTCAGCAGATTCGTTATCACTTTTTCAGGTATGTAAACTCTGGACTCTGACTCTTAAGGATGTGATTTCCAGGATGTGTGTGACCATGGACTGAATGAGTTTAGATATTAACAGGTCATCATAACCAAAGCGCCTGTAGCATTTACGTTCATGGTTGTTGCTCAAACATAAATAAAACCTGTTCCTGTAACTGTGCAGTATATGAGGAAGAGCAATGCAACACAAGTGACTAATAACAGACTAGTGTGTACTACTACAAAAAATTAAAAAAAAAGAAAATAATCTTTTTTTTTTTTTTGACTGGAAATTAGAACCAAAAGCAGCACAGTGTGAGAGTGTTTGCATAATTTGTTTACTCTGGAATATAGTATTCCTGGGAAGACTAACTTTGTAGTGACAGCTCTAGCTCTGTGCATGCAAAGTAGCACCGCATGACCCATATCAGTGAGGATATTAGCCATTTGCTGATCCACTGGTATTGGCATTTATAAACAGCCAATAAATGAAAATTAAGAAATAAAAGAAGAGACTGAAAAAACACCCTTCAACAATATTACGAGCGTTGACGATGCATAGCTTATCCACCAGGGGGCACTCTGCAACTTCACAGTTGGCAACATGCCAGCTGAGTAGGGTCTGAGGCTAGACAAGTAAATAAATAACTTGACATGACAAATGTTGGGGAAATCTATTTGTTTCTGGGATTGAAATTCTGATATTTTAAAATATCAGAATCAGTTTTGAAAATCTGATATTTCAGTCAGGATCCTCAAAGTACAGATTTTTCAAACTTGCAAAAAAGTGTTCTTTAACAGTGTGCTTTAGTAAAAAGGCATTTATAGTGTATTAAGGGCCACAAGAATTCTGCATTATTTTTAAGTTACTGCGATCCATCCTGTTAGATCACTGCACTAAACATGTTAGTGTAACTGAGCTCTTTTCAGACTTTACTTCCTGTGGTGAAAGCTGGCCAAAGACGTAAGCCGAGAATCCCGACAAAAACAAAACATGAAAACATCCAAGCAATGATGGAATCAAGAACAACCAGACTTTCCAAATACTTCAAGTGTTTGTTATTGTAATTTACTGTGTGGCATTACTCACAAATATGTTTAAAAACAACAAAAAAAACCTTTCAGTTTCAGCTTTTGATGCCTGCGCTGCACACAAAACACAACCTTTTGCCCCAAGTAATCATCCACCAAACCTCCAAGGCTATGATGGGAAAACCCTGGCTCAGTGAGCCACACAGTAGTAGAAGGTGCGACCTGGCCAGTCAGCCAGTGAAACCTGCTCCTTCAGTGCTGTTGGAAACTCTTCCTCCTACAGCGCAGGACAACATGGGTGTGTCCATCGACAGTTTCTAGTAAACGTAGTTGAGTTTTTAATTTCATACTTTAAGAATATGCTGCAACTGACTATTTGCATTCTTATTAAACCCCAATAATTCATGCTTAATCATCCAGGTAAGTAAATCCCAAAAGGTTGGTTCTGTTCATTTGGACCAAGTGTTTTCAGTGGGAGAAACAATTCATCCAAGTGACTTCTTCAGTCTCAGCTGACTGCAGGTTTTCCTAACCCTATAAACAATACATTTGCACAATGACTGAAACTAGCCCACTGAATGAACAATGGGGCAGTGAGGAGCTCACCGCTGAAAACACTATGTCCAGATGAACAGAATCAACCTTTTGGGACATTCTGGACTGTTTTTTGTATACTATGTCACAATACTTTAAACCCTGTAACACCAAATTGTGTCTTTTCTGATGGAAGTCTCAAAAACTACATCATGTTTGATTTTTATTCCCTCCAAAAACCCAAATTAATTGCACTATAATTTTTTGGATAATAAATTGCCAAAAAAAATACTGGATGTAAAAATATGATACAAACTAAAATCTATATAAAAATTTTAGTTTAATTTCTTTTTATAATTATTTTTTTAAATACTCAATTTATAAAAAAAGAAAGCAAAAACAACAAACTTGAATTTCCTGGTAATTTTTTCATGGTTCAGGCTTTACAGGGTTAAAGTCAATTTCTCTCATTTTACAGTGTAATTCAAAGTAAAAGCATCAATCAATAACTCAATATAAATGTCTCCATCGATAGTTCAATATCAGGGCTTCCTTGCACTAACATGAGATCTGTTAAACCTAATAAATGATCAATAATGCAAATAATTAAGGCTACAGTGCAGTCCGGTGTGTTATACTTTTTTAAATTGCCAAAGCTTATTTTCCCACAGGATTAAACTCCTATGATAAGGTCCGTCGAATGTAAACAATCTCCACAGTTGTTTTACTTTCTTGGAAACCAGTTTTATTACAACGCAAGTTTATCAGGAATGACTTTAATAGGCCATGTAAGCCTGGATGTCTCAGGAGAGCGTGACTGTTTTGAACTGCAAGACAGGCTCCAGATGTAGCTCCCACACAAACACACTCAAAGTGAGGCTTCTCTGGTGGTAAATATTCAGATGGTTTGTTTGTTTGTTTTTTTTGAGTGAGCGCAGGGAGAGAAGTGGAAATATAGAAACTTAAAACTTATATAATGTTAGAAAAAAAGTCTTGGTTGCTGTGCACTTGAAGATGAACAGATAGATGTTTTTAAAGTAGAAGAGAAAATGGGGGTGATTTTCATAACTGTCAGCAGGGTTTCAGAGCCCTGGCATTCCTATTTGTACTTTTTATATTATTATTTTTTTACCTCTTACATGCAAACAGTACTGGCAGGCAGTAGGAGTGGCAACTCTTCTTCGACAGCACAGAGCTTTTTATTGGAGAGAAAAAAAGAGAGACCTATCAGACACCAATATGTCCTTGGATCAGACGAGCTGTAAAAATGGATAATGAAAGCTGAAACATTCTGCTGCTTCTGAACACACCCTGTGTGCTGTGACGGGGATTAGATCAGCACTTTTACACCATCTCTGCCACACTCGAGAAAACCGAGAATTTATTTTAACCCCCATCAGTAATGAATGCAGCCTGCCTGTAACAGTCTCACAGACAGGAACTTTTTGACTTTATTAAAGTACTTTTCTCACTTACAAGACTAGAGTACGTGTTCCTCCTTAAAAAAAAAATAAAGATACATTTCTGTTACGTGGAAGTTCTTTCTGTTTTCTGAAGAAACTGATGAGTCAGGGTCACCAATTAACAGGAACCTGTTTTTTTTCCTACATGACAGGTAATTCTGTGATGAATATGACTCACTCACATCAACCCTTATGGGTTTTTTTTGCAGAGATAAGCCATTAAGTGATACTTGTTTGCAGTAATCTAGAGCACCAGCAGTTAAAGAGAAACTTGGTGACGTGATACAAAGGATTGGGGACAGCAAAGCCTTAATCACACGGGACAATAGAAATATAATTCAAAAAGTTTTAATTAAGTCTTTCCAAGACTTCTTGAGATAGAACATTAAGATGGGCAATTTTAAAAGGTTGACAGTGGTACAAAGACTCATACCAGATGAGCTCTTGAGAAATTGCCCTTAGGCAGCCAGAAAGTATGGGAGAAACTATACACTGAGAGCAACTTTAAAAATTAAACACACATTCCCTTGTTATGAAACCTAAATATTATTGGAAGCTTTACACAATATAACCTTTGCTTCTAAACAGAGTAAATCAGTGTGTGAATTTCTGATCAGTTTCCACATTTGTATTCTCACTTTTTAGTTCACACTACTTATGATGAAGGACTCAAACCATATATGTATTATCACACTGATTTAAGAACTACCAATCACTTCTGCAAATACCAGTGAGAAAGGAAAAAATGGAGAAAAGGAATGAAACAATAACAGCGGCTTCTGACCTCTCGCTGTGCCCTCGGTGAATATTTCACGACCAGCGCTCGTTTTTTGATGGGTGAATCTGTCAGCGGTGGAGACAGCTTCAGACATTTGAATCTTTAAACAGAGGAAACTGTCTGACTGGGTTGCAACAGACATCAGTAATGGAGCAAAGCGAGTGCAAGCAGGAAGCTAGCAGGAAGCTCCAGAATCAGAGAGGAAGAAGGGAAAGAGATGGCAGGGGCACAGAGCTAATCTGAAGTTCCTGGGGGCACCCAAATCTGAAGGGGCCGAGGACACTGCTGACGCAGCTGTGCCTTGAGCCCGGGGGCAACTTCTAAAACAGTTCCACCCCTGTTACTGCGACACAAATCTGACCCGGGAAGGCAGACCAGCAAAAACCACCTGCCACGGGAAAGCACTAGTTTCTACGTGAAACCATTAACATTAACGTGAATTATACCCTTTCTCCATAGGTGTAATTCAGCAGCAGCAGAGTTTTCGTTCTGTGCGAGACAGACAGGTTATTATGTGCCGTCTTATCTTGGGCCCAGTGGAATTAGGTTACTGAACATATGCTACACATTTCCATGGCAACAAGAGTGGGGAAATCTGGAATCATGTCATTTGCAGAGCCAACGGGCGTTTTTGTTTTTTTTCCTCCTCCTTCTTTTCCCCTGCTGCATCACTGCACTGTTTTCGACAGAAAGCCACGCTGTGAGACAACGCTTCCATGCCAAGTCTATTCTGGTTGGGGACTGTCCTGACGCGGCCCTGTCTCCATCAGATGAGGCAACGGCAAGGGAGAGAACAGGCTGAAATAATTCAGACATAAACGCGGCCAGCGACCATGCTTGTTGAGCCCAAGTGGACCTGTTTTAATCCAATTAAAGAGAGCACAGCCAGTGGAACGCGGTCGCAATAAATGCCGTCATCCATCATGCTGGGACAGCAGAGACTGGGAGCAACTCTGCAGAGAGCAGACACCGACCTTAGGGCCCCCGTAATGCGACGTGTAACGTAGGATGCTAGGAGTATGTGGCTGAAATGCAATGAAGCAGTCACATTTGTGACTTCACACTATAAGCACTGTGATAAAACTTAACTGCGCTGCCGTAATTACAATAGCGTCATGACTGAGATTCCAAAGTTGCATAACACTGGCTTCCTTTATAACATTCATCTTATCTGAAGACAAGCAGTCACATTAACAGAGTGTGCATTTCTCTCCTGTATATTTGTGAGTTTGCTGGCTCGCTAAATCGCTTTGGAGAATGACCTGAAAAGTAACAACGTAAGAAATTAAAAAATAAATAAATAAACTGAAACACAGGCATGTAAACTTTCACACTTTTGGCGTGAGACACCTTTTCTCAGTCTGTTTCACACTGCCACATGAATCTCTCGCAACAAATAAGAGGAAGTCTCAAAGCTGACGCTTTACCCAAAAATCTTTTTCTTTTTTCTTAAGTTCGGCACCACACTGGTACATAAACAGCACAGAGAGCACAAAAGACACAGTTTGTGCCCCATTAAGCTGCCGGAGGCACACACAAAACCCCTCTCCAAAAGTCATTAAACTCTTCTCATATATGTTCAATTTTTCCTTCATTTACTTTACTCTGAAATCTCAGATCCATTACAGATGTGAAAATACTAGCTTACTTACTCAAGCATTTTTACTGCAGTAACGAGTATGTTATAGACCAGAGTAAAGATGTAAATGTCCGGTTTGCCAAAAAAAATAAGAGGAGCTGGAAAAATATGTTAATTCCAGCTGTTTACAAAAGCCTATTTTCTTTTTTTCCTTTTTTTTTTTTAATACCTCCAGCATCAGAAAGCCTTAGAATCCTTCCATGTGCGCTTAGAAGGAAGAGAGTTGTACACAGTTACACACTGGACAACAGTCATGACCTCATAGATTGGGATCTAAAGTCACGTACACATATGTAGTACAAGTACATTTAGAAAAGAAAATAAGAGAAAAAAAATACTATACAAATTACAATGAGTAGCCTCAAGTTTGAGAAGAGTTTAACTTCTCTTGTCCTCCCGTGTAGACAGCCCTTAAACAGAGTAATTTTGTGTATTTCACGTCAGACAGGTGAGCTTATTCTGCAGAGGTGCATGGATATCAACCTGCATGGAAAGAAGGCTGCGGGTGCTGGCACAGCTAATGTTAGACACACTCAGCAGACTGATCAGTGTACAATTTCATGCACTGGGCTGAACGCCACATTTCACATTCAAGCCGCATTTAAAACCAATCTGATTATCGAAGAATGTGATTAAGAGACTCTAAATCCAAATGCAGAGACAACACTTAACCACATTGCTAAAAGTGTGCTAAAATGTTTCTGTCTTCTGCCTTGTTTTCTTACTTTCATCCAAGTCACTTAGTCTGACATTTTTTTCCTCACATTTAATGATTAGTATATTAGTCCCAAAGACTATCAATAGATCTGTTTCCTATACCCTCTTCAATTATCAAATTAGCTACCAATTTACAGCTGCCATGTTAAGATGCATGTGTACCTAATGCAGTAAGTGTCACTTGACGCGCCATCAGATCTCAAACAGTTTATAACATCATGTGGCTAGTTCTGTCACCCTCACTGAATTTGAGCTGTGAGCCACGTTAACGTCTGAACGCCACTGCTTTAAAGGATTAATGAAGCCAGCAATGCTATTAAATGTCCCATTTTGGGAGTGTGCACAAGTGCACTTATGTTGCACATCTCTGTGTGATAAGTGGGCTGTTATCATGAGTGAACCTTCACAGCTGAGGTGCTGAATCAAGGCACACAAAAACACTTCCCAAAGTCAATGGGGTTTACTGCTGGACGCAAACAAACTGAAATTACTCAAGGACAAGTCTGTTCATGCAGTCTCCAAGGTAGAGGGAAAAAAGAAAGAAAAAGGAGGGAAAGAAAATGGTTTATAGGGCAATATATTAGAGAATAAAGCGTAAGAGAATTGCTGAAGTTTAGCTGGGCTCATGGTGTACTGTTGTTTCTATATTTCATGCTCTGTCACAGCTCAGCAAAGCTTGCCTAACGTTGTTAGGCTCACACAGTGGTGTGTACATGGACAAAAGACTGAGTGAACATGAGAGAGAGGGTGAGTGGGGTAGATGAGAGAGCACGTTCAAGTGGTACGGCAATGTCTTTCTAAAACATCTATTGTCTGTGTGTGTGTGTGTGTGTGTGTGTGTGTGTGTGTGTGTGTGTGTGTGTGTGTGTGTGTGTGTGTCCCTCCATGCCTTCCAGCAGCAGACAGAAACGGACTGCATGCTCTCGACTGACTGAGAGTGTAGTCTGATTGGTGCTGAAGGCACAGTCTTGTTGCTACAGAGATGCACAAACAAAAGATTCTGCTGAATGAAAAGCAAATAAACTGTATGATGTCAAACTACACTGACAGTACGAGCCAGATTTAAGTTTTAATCATGAATTCAGCAATATTTACAGAGCCATGCTCGAGCCTGGGCATTGAAAAACACGCCTGGTTCCTTGGCCTACAACACTCACAAAAGAGAGCCTACATCTCCAGACTTCTGTTTCATGGTTAAATAAAACAAAACAAACAAAAAAAAGAAACAAAAAAACCCCAAGAGAACCTTGAAACAATAAGACAAGGAAGCCTTGACAGACTTAACTGTTAAACGTGGAGCAACTGCAAGCAAAGCATCGACAGCAGTGGGCAGGAATCAAGAAAGATGAAAGCCCAACTGGAGACTGATGCTGAATAAATAATGACATCCATTGTGGGGAAATGTGATCGGCCTCTCTGAAAATCAATAACTAACAACCAGACCATGATGCCCTGAGTGACTCAGCAACAACTTCAATACACTGCAGACGGTCGATATCAACTGCCTGTTCTTGTTCCGGGAGACATGA